TCCTGAATTTGAAAAACCCATAGTTTGGAGAGGAAAAAAGAATTTGGAAGACAAACTTTGATATGTGGAGATGGATGCTGCCTCTAGGTTTGGTGTTCCCAGTGCATCTTGGTGACCATTAGATACTATAATTTAATTTCCAGGTCCTTGGATTTAGCACAAGGAGTGAAGATTGTAAAATGTAAATAGCTGTTTTTCCTGAAAGTCTAAGTCTTCAAAGTAGTAAAGATGTGACTGTCATTGATTTTCATGGGTTTCTGTGCTCTGCTTTAGTATTTTTAATGGCACTTGAAACATTCAGAATGTTCAAAAAGAGTTTTGGTAAAGATATGTACAAATGTGTGTGCTTTTGTCACCTTCAATGACAATTTGATGCCTTTTAGCTTCCTTCAACTCTTCCAGGACACTTATTAGTCCACAGGATGTTGAGTGTCCTCTTACATGTGGTGGTGGTGCTGAGCTTGGATGAAAGTTTGTCTGCCTTGTGTGAGATTTTTGTGTGGATGAGGAATACATCACGCTATTTTGGGTTCTACTCTGGTACTGTCTTCCTACTCTTGTACTCTACATGCAGTGGATACATTCCTCAACAAGGTTACCTGTTTTACTACTATTTTCTTCTGTAACTTAGCAACAACAGTTCCTTATAGCTTTAGCTTTACCTGGTTTCAACCATCACGATTCTCATCTTTGGAATACTTTTCTTTCTTTTTTTTTTTTTAACTATCAATGGGGAGACTTCACAGTTTACCTGAGAATCTGCATCACTCTAAAGCAGAGACTGTGGTGGAAGGAAGTAAAGGATTTTACATCTACCTTTATTCTCCAGTCAGCTAGTAAAGAGCAGTAATTATCAGGTGTAAGCAATCAGATGAGCAAAACCTGCAGCCTAATTTTAAAGTACCTTACACTCACTGTACTTCACTATTACCTTCCTGCAATAATGTAATGAATGACTTTGAATGCATGAGAAAAATGAGCCTTGGATGAGATGTGTATTTTACAAGGAGTCCTGATAAGCATCTTGCTGTGGTCTCTATACTGTGTACTTAAACAAACATGTATTCCTTCTTTAAATGTGGTTGCACTACTGATTTCCATTAAGATAAGTATTTATATGTTCTTTGGGGAAAAAAATATATAGAGTCATCTGGATGGAGAGATGTCTAAATTTACTGAGGATATGGTAATTTGGGGGTAACTGTTGGGCATAATTTTCATAATTGTTTACTAGTAGGGAGAAAAAAATTGAGTTACTTCTCTTTGATAAAGCAGATAAAGTTTTATAGCTGGTGCTTAGGAGGAAATCTTTTTGTCCTTATGCAAAATATTATTTATCTCAAGATCACTGATAAAGAATGAAAACTTCGTAGTAGCAGACTTGGTTGTGTTCTCAAAGCAGAACTTGATTGGTTGTGCTTCAAGTGTTCCTGTAGGTTTTATACTAGCATGTGTGCATGCTTACATTCACAAGCTTTTCTAATTTTCAATCTCAAGAGTATGAGATTATTAGGTGTGCAGAGTTTCAGGTGAGAGGAATTTGAGGAATGCTCACACTACTAGTTTTTTTCCACAAACTGAGGGTTTGTAGAAAGTGAGCTTTCATGGTGTTACTTCTTTAATCCTTCCAACCTGTGTTATGAGAACTATTTTAAGTTTTGGAAGATCTTTTTGGACTCTCCATATTTCTTATGGCAATGTCTGTTACAAATATCTATTTGTTATTGTTTGTAGTATTGGTTTTCCTTTTAAATACCTGGTTGCCAATATCAGTATTATTTCCAAAAGTGGTAAAAAGAGCCTGATAAGTAATATTTGTAGAAAATTAAATTACATAACATGGACAGAAGAGCCTAGAAGGTCTATCCTCATGACAGTTGCAGCATAAACTTGTAAGTTTAATTGAATTGTTTTCTCTGCTTCATACCTTTTCCCCTCTTTGTTCACCGAATCATAAATAAAGCTAATTTTAAGAATTCTGAGTGGACTAGAAGAACAGTTATAGTAAAAGAGAAATTTAACCATTCACAGAAGAGATGTACGTTTTCTCTTTGCTATGACAGGAAGTATTCTTGTTGTGGATGTGTGTAGAACAAATCTGGTTATAGAGAAGGTATTTTGTACTCACGCTGCTGTGGAAAATCTGGTTGGCTCTTCTGGTCATCATCATGACAGATGCTATCACAAATGTGGTATCCTGCCCTTACTACACAACTGGAAAACAGAATTCAGACATTCACAAGTTTGACCTCTGTTAGTTCTTAAGTGTAATAGCTTTTAACAGTGGTTGCATTTTCTTGTTCCCATTTCATGCTTTTGTTTTCACCAGCATTTTCAGTTTTCTGATGCTTTACCTTTGGATTTCTTTTTATTGTATTTGAATACCTAAATTTTACAAAGACTGAGCAAATTTAGTGTTTGAGGGTTTTGGATACCTCAAACTTGTCATCCTGTTTAAATATAGAGGGGGCATAACTTGGCTGATAAAGTCCTCACAATTAGGAAGTACAACATTCTGTCAGAGTAAAGTGTTAAATGGAGTTATGCTCAAACTAAATATTTCATTCACTTCTCAAGAAACAGAAGGTAGTGTTTCAGTGTGGAAAGCTTCTTTTTTTTTTTTTTTTTTTCCTGGCAGATGAAACATTGGAAGCTTTCCCTCTGCTCCAAGTAGTCCAAAAGCTGTTTTGAAAAGATGGTGTGTGTCTCCCAGAGATAACTGAGAAGGATGGTTAACTCTTCTTTGCATTAATTTGTCTGTATCTGTACAAATAGAAATAAACTCCTGTTCCTTTTAGCCTTCTGTGCTAGAGAAGTGTAGTGAACTGAACTGGATATTGGAATTGATTATTTTATCAGGAAAAACCCAAAAGCAGCATATATGATGTGTCTTGTCTGTCTGAGGGCTCTTTCTTCTAAGAAGATAGAAAAAAAAAGAACACTTTAAGGCTTGTCTTTAACTATAGTCTCCCTCATGAGTTTTGCCTAAGTGTTCACCCAGAATATGTCCTTGTCTATAATACTTCCCTGTGCTCCCCACCACTGTGGATTTAGTCTTCAATTTTTCTGGTTTGTCTTCTGTTTCTTTTTGGGATTTTGTTTTTTTTCACCTTGTAACAAATACACAAGTTATACTTCATTAAACTTTGTGTGCTGTAAGATATGAGCAAGATGATAAGTTAGGTTATAGAGCAGTCCAGTTAGGAATATATAATTTATATTGCACTGGTTACTTTAAATAAGCTCTTACAAAAATAGAATTTCATGAATAGCAGTTCCATGAGGAACAATTGTATTCCCATGTAAATTGACTGGAAATTAAATATTTCCTAAGTTAATTAATCTGTAGTCTTGTTATTAGGTATATGAAAACATTTAAACTGTTTCCTTCCAAAAAGGAAAAAGCCCTTTAGGATTAACAGTGCGTGGCATACAGAACTTTTCTCTACTGCTTCTTACCGGGAAAAACTCAGCTTTGTGGAACTTTAGGGATTTTCGCCTCAAAACTTCTGTTTTCACTATACATTTGTACATTTTGTTGGTGAAGTTAAGTGTACAGTGGGAAGGGCAGGTAATGCTGATGTGCTCTGCACTTCCCTGGGGTCCGGACTAGTACTGTGCTGTTACTGCCACTGGAAATGGGGATTTTCTTCCCTCTTTCTGTTCAAAAGTTCACTCAAAATGCTTGTGTGCCATGAAAACAGCTTGAGCAGTGAGTAACCAGGAGCACGGCTGGCAGCGTGGTTGCTTTTTCCACAGTGTGTTTAAATATGTCCATGCCCTGTGCACTCCCCATGTTGTGAAAGTTTCCCCACACCTGAAACCTGAGGATTTGCACTGGCTACAGTTTCATTATTGTTGGGAGCTGGCAGATGGGAACAGCCTCTGTTGAGCAATGGAGCATGAGGTAGTCCCGTGTCAGCTGGAGTCTCCACAGCTGTGCTCAGTTACAGGAACTCTGGGGTCAAGTGTAATCTCAATGCTTGGTTTGTTAAGGTCTAACGTGTCCTAGTAATACCATATTTTCTTTAAGCGGTTTCTTAATCGAACAAGGACACTGCTTAATAATCTTTTTTTCTTCCTTTTAATTGGAAGAAAGGCTCAGTTGAAAGTGAAACACAGTGTAGAGATCAGATTTGGAAATACTTTAAAACTTTGCACTCTCTAGCAGAACTGCCTTCTCCCTAGTCCTTCTATTTCTCTGCAAATTTAAGAATCTTCAGGACCATTATATATGAGTTATACATTTCAAGTTTTTAAATATTGTATAACTTTAACTGTTGATTATTATCCAATGAATACTGTTATTTGAGAACTTTGTCAGAAGAGAGACAGTGTTCCATTGCCAGGTGATTGAATCATAATGATCCATTGGGAAAGCAAGCTTGTAACAAGTATGACAAATCAAGTAGTCATGGAGGAAAAGGGGGGGAAAAACTTGTGTTAAGGCAGTTAGAGAATTCAAATTTTAAAACACCAGCCTACTAGAAAATCAGGGTATTTTATCAATGCCTGATTGGTTTAGCACACAAAATACTTCTGAAAGAAGACAGACCACATATATTTTAGACTGCATTAGGTGAATCAGTAAAATGAAATAGTTCACATAGTATTTTGGCGAATTTTAGTTTAATGCATTTGTTTTATTTCTCTTTACATTTTCATAGTGTTGGAGTTAGAATATACCAATTACTAAGAATGAAAGCTTAAATAATTTCTAGGTGTTACAGTAAATTTATACCTCTGAATCACTTGGCTAAGAAAGAACAGTTCTTTATTGCAGAGGTCCATTTTTTGGTCTGTGAGATTCTAAAAGCTGTGTTAAGGTGTGCATATCAAGGTTTGGGTACTTTAAATGGTCACAAGCATGTATTTATTTGAAGTACTGATTTGAAGAAGAATTAGACCAGGACAGTTTAACATGCTCGTGTTTCAGTACCGATAGGTTCCTCCTGTTGGACATGACTTTCAGGGGTACCCCTTGTTTCTTTGCTCCCCAGGTGTGAAGCACAGAAGCATGCTTTCCACTGAGCCTCACACTGCCACCTGTGATACAGAATGTCTCTAAGTGAGAGCAACAGTGTGGTGTTTGCCTATGAATCCTCAGTGCACAGTACCAATGTACTCCTCAGCCTCGATGATCAGCGCAAGCAAGATATCCTTTGTGATGTTACCATTTTAGTGGAGGATCAGCGATTTCGGGCCCACAGAGCTGTGCTTGCAGCTTGCAGCAGTTACTTCCTTTCAAGAATTGTGGGCCAGGTGGATGCTGATCTTATCATCACCTTGCCGGAAGAGGTGAGTGTCACTCCCTTCTGCATTTACCTGCCAGTGCTTCTGATCTGCTTTCTTCAGTTCTCTTTTATGGTAGCTGGGGTTTAACTGACGATTTAGAGTAGGGGATTTAAGAGCTGAAAGACACCAGCCCACAATCTGGGGTACCAAAATATTTTTTTAATTCAAGTACTTCATATATATTATATTGTAAAGACTAAATGCTGTCTTCTTGGTCAGAGGTCTGTTGGTTTTTTGCCAGTGTTTTTATTCTTTGACTTTCATCCCAAATAAAAATTAGAGATAAATGACTATTGCAAGAATTGCTTTTCTAGGTCAGTCACACGAAGTCTTTATGATTTTTTGTTGTTTGAGCATAGCTAGCTAAAACTTGTAAGAGAAAGTGAAAGGAGGAGAGTGTTTTTCCCCTCTTGAACATTGCAGTTTTTGCAGTGTTTCTCCCTTAAATAGAAATAAGTTACAGTTTTAAAATACCATTGTATTTTTTTATTTCAGTTTCATTTATGAATGCTACTTATTTGTAAAGCTACTTTAATGTTTTGTTAACTACACTAAGTCTGAAGACATGTTGACAGCTTATGGATAAACTGTCTTTTACATTCTACTTCCCTGCATTTTAAAGGATGAATTAATGTGGTGGTATAATCTCCAGAGCATATTTCAAATGCTATTTTAAGAATTCTTTAGGAAGATTGTAAGTGTTTACAGACAGCTTTAAAGGACTGGGCTCTGTGCAGATCTCATCAACTTCATGTGTTGTATTCTTTAAAAAGAACATACCAACCAACTACTAAAAACACCAAAGTAAACAAACCCTCAACTGATTCTGAAATTGAATTGTGTGATTAATTCATTATTTTGCTGGCAGAAGGGTTCAGTGTAGTTAATGCATTGATATAGTGCTTTATTTAACATAAAATACTGGTCATTTCAGTAAAGGCAGAGAGCAGAGTGTGGACCTGAGTTTAGTATTATAGTGGACATACTGCTTTATTCTTCATTTGCAGAGAAGAGGCTAAAGGAAGTGTCATGTAGTTGGTAATCTGTTTGTGGGATCTGTTTGTGGCTTTCTACTTGATTCCTTAGACATTTTTTATGTGTGGAAGATCTTGCACAGTTTCTAATGATACAGTTTTTGTTTATCTCTGGGTTCCTTGAGAGGCAACTGCTGTGAAGACATAAATGTTCAATTAAAATCACTTGCTCTAAAGGGGCTTTAAACTGAAAATTCTGTTTGGTGTACCATTTTTGAGTGCCTTTCTTTAAATCTATGGGAGGAAGAAAGGAGTAGGTGGCTGTAGTAGTAAATAATCATATGTGGTCAAACTCTATTTCTTCAAACTTTTTGCATGAATGGTGCATAAGACTAAGTGATTAACAGTAATTGCTCATCGAAAACTACAGTTAAATACCAGCAGCATACTGTAAAGTAATTAGTATACAACTTGCTAAGAAATATATCTTTGTGAGGTTGGAATCTAGTTACTGATTTTCGGTATACAACAGTATTTTCTGCTTTTAGTACTGCGTTGCCAGAACGTTTTATTAAGAGAAAGATCACAGTAAAGAAAACTGTCACAAAATATGCATGATACAATTGTATCAGATGAGTTGTTTCAGAATGAGTTTGACCAAGTTTTCACAATAGAACAAGTCTGCTGCTTTTGTCCTGTGCTCTGTCCTGCTGGCAAAACAGGTAAATTTGTGTATTTCTCTGCTTCAAGCCAAATTGACCATAATAATTTTTTTCATTTGTTTTTGTAATAGGTTACACTTAAAGGATTTAGTCCTTTGCTTCAGTTTGCATATACAGCAAAACTTGTTTTAAATAAAGACAATGTGTCTGAAGTTTGCAAATGTGCAGAATTTTTGGGTGTACGCAACATTGAAGAGTCCTGCTTTCAATTTCTCAAATTCAGATTTTTGGACTTTAAATTGGATCAGCAGGAATGTCCTAGGAAAAAGTGTTGCACACAGCGTTGTCAGAAAGCAAACCCTAAAACTGGCAATGTGGATGATGGAGACCTAGAAATAAATGATGAAGTAGAAGCACTTCTAGAAAAGGAATATAGTCAAATTCCTGACACAAAGCCCTGTAAAGATGAAGAAAATGCTAAATCATTGCCTGTTCTCCAAAATAATGCCAATCAAAACTGTGATCCTGTACATTTAGAAAGGGGTAATGCTTCCAGCTTATCTTCCCAATGCCCAAAGTATAGAAAATTCCAGAAAGCTTTTGGAAATGACAAAGTTAATACTTCAGAGTCCAGCTCCAGTATTAAAGATGTTCAGGTACCACCATTTGCAACTTCTCTTGAGAAGGAAATACCTGATAACGATGGCATACAAAAAGCTCAGGAGTGTGTGCCTATGCAGCTGATCTCAAACTGTGAAGAGACTCAGGTAGAAATGGAAGAAGGGGAAGAAGGCATTCAGAAAAAAGAAGAGTCAAGGAGAGATTCTGTAACTCGGAATGTGTCATGTCCTGTGGAGAAAATGGATCTTGCTGCTTTTCCCCAAAACTCTGCTGCACCTCATGGACTCAATTCTGTGTCTATTTTACATAGTTGTGAGCAATATGGTAACTTGAATTTCAGTAGTATGCAAAACAACACAGTCTTAGCTGAAAAAACTGTGTCAAGTACTGGAGCTGGAAATGACAAAACTGAAAGTCAGGGTAACCCATCTTCAAAGGTGGATTTGTGCATTAGGGAAGCCACTAGCATCACCTCAGCTGGAGATCGAAGCAGTGTGGAGAGAGAGATAGCAGAACAGCTAGCACAGGGGTTCTGGAGTGATGTTCACAGCACAGATGCCTGTCAAATACATTTACCACCTGCAGTTTCTAAAGAGTATTTGGAGCCCACCTACTCGGGGAAAAAATCAGAGTGTCCGTGGCTGGGGATCAGGATCAGTGAAAGCCCTGAACCTTGCTCTCAGCGAACTTTTACAACACTGAATTCAGTCAATTGCCCCTTTATAAGCAACCTTAGCACTGAAGGATGTTCCAGCACCTCTGAAATAAACAGTGGAGATTATGTTCAAGGACAGCAACAAGAACAGTGTCCCTATAACTATGTGATAAGTTTGGGAGAGGATTCGGAGACTGACACTGAGGGAGACAGTGAATCCTGTTCAGCAAGAGAACAAGAATGTGAGGTAAGAATAACCTGATGTATCCTTTGCTTCCCAGTCTTTTAAGGCCATATTCAGAAATATGAGTTTTCTGTGTTTTGTTGTTTTGGAGTTTTTTCTGTGGCTGCTTGTTTTAAAAAGTCTGGGACTGAAACTTTAAATAACCCTTCAGAGGTTTATATGAAAGGTCACTGTTAATTCAGGGAGACTGAATAAAAGTATGAAAGTATTTTTGGTCAGATACTGAAGTGTTAGATGCTTACATATTAGATATTTTAAGATTTTTTTTTCTGGAACAACTGTCAGAAAAGGTTGTGAGCCTTAAATCAAGGCATGAAGGTTCATTCTTAGATTTTTTTTCTTTTATGTGCTTCAGTTTAGAGTTTAAGAAAACTGTAAACGTCTTGGAACCTTTGTTTAATAGAAACTTACCAGTTTCTTGGGTTTATTCTGAGCTGTGTGGTGAAGGTGGGAGAGAAATTATACTTCAGATTTAATGTGAAGTGAAAATTAATCTTTTAAGCTGGCTTCAACAGCTGTATATTTAAGACTCATTAATAATACACCTTCTCTAGTACTAAGTGATATACCTGGAACAATTTCCATCTCAGTTCTTAGAATCATAGAATTGCAGTGTAACTCTGCGTGATGTATCATTCAATGTTACAAAAATTCAGTTGTTCTCAAAGCACTAGGGTTTTTGTCTTTCAAGATGCAGGGCCTTACTGAGGCTGAACATAAGTGGAACCTGCCATCAATACAAAAAATCTGGAATGCTAAACAAAAGGCCAGAATTGGTTAAATACATTCCTCACCTTTATGTGACAGAGAAAGTGGTATCATTGCTGAGAATAGTACTCTGGGTTTTCTTATTATTTTTTGCCTATTTGTCACCAGTAGTAGCCAATCAGAGGAAGGATTTCTCTGTGTTCTTTTTAAACTAAATTCAGATCTTTGACTACAGTAAGGTGACATATTCTGCTACTTCCTATACTCAAATGTAAGGATTGAAATAAAATGTCTTTAGGCGGATACTCAAAACCACGGTGATTATTTTGTAAAGGTAAATATGTTTTTCAGTATTAGTCAACACTTTGTGATCTCAAATGTTTTTGTAGCTCAGGTATACAACAGTAGCAAGAGCCTGGTCCTCTGTCTTCTCCAACACTAAGAAATAAAAGATGAATATTTTAACTTCTGTATTTTAAGGAAATGCCTCTTTCAGATGAACTTTTCCTGCAGAAAAAAAAAACATAGGTATAAAAATGTATGCAGGATACAGTCTTAATAGCAGCTTTGGGAAAACTTTAGACTGTGTAAGTGAGTCTTGACACCTGTTGTGTATCTTACCAAACTGTAACTCATGTTCTTAGAGCGTGTCACCTGCATATTTGATGCACACACAAGCAGCTTTCAGCCTATCCTGAATATGCTTGTAAGGATCTAAGCTCTGTTGCACCTGTGCTTGAACTCCTGTAGTTGAATCCCCTGGATTTTATCCCATCATCTGATGGTTGTTAGTTTGCTCTTGTCTCTGAGATGTAGGAATAAAGATGAGTTGTGTGGTAAAGAATGCTTAAGATGGAAACTTGAGTTGTTGGTGTTTGTGTATATCAGTTCCACCTTGGATTTACAACTGTATCTCACATTCTAGGTAAAACTGCCATTTAATGCACAAAGGATTATCTCACTTTCCAGAAATGACTTCCAGTCATTTCTGAAAATGCATAAATTAACTCCTGAACAATTGGACTGCATTCATGATATCCGAAGACGAAGTAAAAACAGAATTGCAGCGCAGCGATGTCGCAAGAGAAAACTTGACTGTATACAAAATCTTGAATCTGAAATTGAAAAACTGGTATGTATAAATATTCATTGCTGTTGTCATGTCTTTCTCTAAACATCTTGACTGGCTATCTGGCAGTAGCTTGAGAGTGGGGTGATTTACTACTTTTTCCACTCAAGTCTTGTATAACTCCTTGATAGCAGTTCTAGATTTTTCTGAGCCTTGCTCTAAAGTACACACATCTTTCCTTCTGTGGACTTGTTTCCATTCGAATAAAACATGCATCACAGCGTAATTTTTGGTGAGTGATGTTTCTGAGACCCATAAGCTTTGAATTTAATTGTACAGAATGATTCCCAGATTGTTATCCTACACTGCTTTTTGCCTCTTCCCCTTTCTTGCTTCAAGATTTTGTTCTTCAGCTCATGGTATTGCTCATGATCAAGTTTGCAGTTACGCAATTGTTAGTTGTGTAAGTGCTGTTCTTGGAACACATCAACAGGGGCTGGCAAACTGTTTCCTGAGTCTTGAGTGTTGAAAATGAGAACCTTGCAGAAAGGCAGAAGATACAGAAGAACTTGGGAAGTTGCTTGCCTTTTTAGCAGTTGCATCAAGATTGTAGCTGAGGAATTGATGCATCCAGATTTCTCAGCAGCCATCTGTTAATATATTTTCTCCTCTTTAAGAAGGCAATAAAAAGATAAATATGTAATTTAAGAGAAATGTAGGTAGTCTGAGGTTAAGATTATGTAAAAATAGCAAAGGCAAGAAGTTAATTGAGTGGCTTTTCAGAAAAACAAGTCTTTGTTTGACTCTCATCTCAGTTTCATAGTTGGTCATAGCCATGTGCACAAAATAGTTCAGTTGTTTAGGACTACTGTACTCTCATTCATGGAGCATTTTAGGCTTGGTGTTCCTGAATTTGGTATTTGCATCAGCTGGAATACAGCAGTCATGTTGCATCTTTTTTGACTTCAAAGTGAAAAGGAAAGTAAAGTTAGAGCCAAGTGCCACGGACTGGAAACTTACTTGCTTGTGATCATCATCTTTCACTTCATCTACTCCTACTTCTGCAGTGAGGAGATCAGCTTTGAAGCAGGGCTTGCAGTGCCATAGAGCTCTGATAGGCTGACAGAGCAGGTTGTGCTCAGTGAAGAAGGTGCACTGTGAGGGAGGGTAATCAGGTGATTGTACTAATAATATCCTTACTGAAGAGAGAAGTTGCATTTCTGGCATTTCAGAACTTTTTGCCTGGTTTTGTCATCATGTTGTCATTTCTGTTATGTAACTCTGTCAATATTTTGCAATACTTGGGCAGGCGATTAAAGGTTGGTGTGCAAGATTAGGCATGTGGCTGTTTGAAACTAATAATTATAATATCCTTCTTTCATGGACCTGTGCTGGAACAGATTGAATGTCTGCTCTTTGACAGGTAACACTGTGCAAGGCCTAGATAAGAAGTGTTGAGTCTTGAGAACTGTGAGGTGAGGTCTGAGTTATATGAATCATCCCGTAGGCACAAACGTGTTCCAGTTGCATATGTTTTTTTCAACTGTGCTGATAAGTTTCTTCAGAAATTATTGAAAAGACTCTGTTTGGAGCTGTTGACCATGCCTGATAGCCACAGATCATCAAATTTGTATAAGCTGTACACAAATACAGAAACATCAAGATCAGTCTAGGCATGATTTCCAGGTGGATGGAAGAAAAGAGATGTCGTGGAGGGGCTATGTGTGATACATCCAGGTTGCTTCATGCGTGATGGCTCCTGCCTTGTTCCTCTTCTCTGGCTCAGTCATGTCTCAGACCTTTTAGACTTTGATCATCTCATGGTATCATCTGTAATGTGGCTTTGAGAGGGAATAGAATGGTGTAGCTGTAGTTTGACAGCTCTTGACAGATAGATAATACTCTGTATACCAGTTAGGAAATACTTTTTCGTGGAATTCCTCATCCTGGTGTTCAGTATGTGCAGCATGTTGCTTTGTAATAGTTTCTAATTGGTGCTGCTTCAGTTTTTTTCTCTCTCAGAAGATCCTTGTGGTGTGTTTCTTGGAAAAGTCCTATATTTGGAACAGAATGACCCCTGCCTGGCTGGAGACTAGCAGCTGGCAAGTAGCTTTGCTGACAAGCACCTTGGGGCCTGGGCAGACAGCAGGCTGAGCAAGGATCAGCAACATGTCCTGAGTAAAAAAAAGGCCATCAGTGTCCTGGGCTGTGTTAGCAGGAGTGCAGCCCATTGTTGGAGGGCCGTGGTTGTTACCTACCTTGGCACATGTGACACTGATTTGTTTGCTGGGTTTTCACCCCCCCAGTCCCAGGAGCACATTGATAGACAGAAGGAAGGTTGGGTGAAGGTTGTTGGCATGGCCAGGCCTGAAGTACTTCTGTGGTGGGAGGCCAAAGAAATGGGGCTTCTACCTGGAAAGGGGTGGGGAGACCTAATGGCTCCCTGCCCATATCTGTGGGGTTATCCTTGAGGTTATACAGCCTTTGGTAGTAGAAGATCCTCAGCTTCCTGGGGGAGTACTTGGCAGCAAGAGAACAAGAGACGTGGTCTTAAATTGCAAGGGGGATTTCATCTGAATGTAAGGAAAGTTTTTTCTTCCAGTGGAGACCAGCAGGCAGTGGAGCAGTTCACCCTGAAATGCTGTGCATGCACTGTCTTTGGGGGTTTTATGGCATGACTGAGCAAAGCCCTGAGCAGCCTGATCTTACCTGATCTCTGACTTTGTTTTGAGCAGCAGGTCAGACTACAGAATGCTGAGGTACCTCCCCTCCCAAGTGATTCTGTAAAATTGGAAATCTTACGTTAAGTTCTACTTAGATGGAAGAACAATATTGTTCAGTGCTGAATATGTTATCTGGGAGAGTTACCTTTGATCATGTCTTTTGATCTTCTGTACTGATAAAGTCATTTTTTTACCTTCCCATGTAGCCTTTGCTTATTGACCTTTCAGGTGAATCTGGGTGTTCCTTAATGTTCTGTATTTGAGAACAAGCAAGGGCTACTTAGGAGATGATAGAACCAGCTCTTTCACAGATCCTGTGTATGTTCTTTGTGCTTTCTCCTGGACAATGGGATGACCCTGCCTGAGCAGGGAGGTCAGACCACATGACCCACTGTGGTCCCTTCCAACCTGACCCATCCTTGGATTTTTCACTTGGAAACTTTTAAAATGAGGGGACTTGTGAGGGGGAGCAGAGTAGAGCACAACTGGTATCAAGAAGCACTACTTTGCTGAAGATTCTGTAGCTGAGGATGTGTCAGTGCTCCAAGAAAAATGTAATTGAGATCTTGTTAATATATATTATAGCAGGGTGAGGTGAGTGAACTAGGTACATTCTTTACCAGGAGATTCAAAAGAGCTCTTAGTTTATTATGATCTCAAAACTGACTGACTTTTTTTTACAGTATTAGTATTATGCTGATAAAATAATAATGTTTAAATGTATTAACCTGTCAACAGCTTCAGAAGGGAGGTGAGGAATTTATGCTGGAATAGCTATTTCTGAATGTTGTTTTAAATAGCAATCCAGATAATTTCATCAGTCAATAATACACAGCTGAGTGCCTCTACATACCCAAAAGGTATTAGGTGATCTGCCTAACAGAATGGAAAGATTATTCTGATCAGTATTGAAAAACACCTGGAGAAGAATGCAGGGATCAGTCACAGCCAGCACGGCTCCATGAGGGGAAAGTTCTGCTTGTCAAAACTGATTTCCTCGTATGGCAAGGTAACCCACCCAGCTGATCTAGGAAAGCCAGTAGGTGTAATCCTCTTGGACTTCACCAAAGCTTTTGACAGGCTCTCCCAGGATCCTTCTGAACAAAATGTCCAGCCCACAGCTGGATAAACACATCATGTCAGGGAGAGCAGCTGGGTCATGGTCAGGAGCAAGTGGTGACAGTGACTGGGGTGACATCAGGTTGGCACTGGTCCCCAGTGGGCTCTGCAGGGCTGCATCCTGAGCCCTGTGCTCCTCACCATCTTCACTGACAACCTGGACTCAGGACTTAATGGAACACCCTAGATTTGCCATTGACACTAAACTGGGAGGAGTTGTCAACTCCCTCAAGGGCAGAGAGGCCCTGCAGAGAGACCTGGACCAGTTGGACACTTGGGCAGTCACCAGCAGTGTGGAGTTTAACGAGGACAAGTGCCAGATTCTGCTCTGGGACAGGGCAGCCCTGGCTCTGTGTGTGCACTGGGCAATGGGGGGCTGGAGAGCAGCTGCAGAAAGGGACCTGGGGTTCCTGGTCCATGGCCAGCTGAACAGGAGTCAGCAGTGCCCTGGCAGCCAGGAGGGACATCCGTGTCCTGGGGACAGCAGGCACAGCAGTGCCAGCCAGGCAAGAGGGGGCATTGTCCTGCTCTGCTCTGTGCTGGGGCAGCCTCACCTCCAGTGCTGGGGGCAGTTTGGGGCACCATGGTTTAAAAAATGGCCTTAAGCCATGGGAGAGCATCCAAAGAAGGGTCGTGAGGATGGGGAAGGGTCTGGAGGGGGGAAATCTTATGAGAGATGACAGTGGGCATTCAGTCTGGAGAAACGGAGACTGAGGGGAGACCTCATTGGTGCATCCAAAGAAGGGTCGTGAGGATGGGGAAGGGTCTGGAGGGGGGAAATCTTATGAGAGATGACAGTGGGCATTCAGTCTGGAGAAAAGGAGACTGAGGGGAGACCTCATTGGGGTCTTCAGCATCCTCCAGAGGGGCAGGTGCCAATCTCCGTGTGACTAGTGACGGGACTCGAGGGAACAGCGTAAAGCTGGGTCATGGAAGGTTTTAAGTTGGACATTAGGAAAAGCCTCTTCCCCCTGTAGGGTGGTTGGACACTGGAGCAGACTCCCCAGGGCAGTGGTCACAGCACCAAGCCTGACAGAGCTCAAGAAGCGTTCAGACAAAGTTCTGAGGCACAGGGTGTGACTCTTGAGGTGTCCTGTGCAGGCTGAGGAGTTGGACTCAGTGACCCTGATGGCTCCTTTCCAGTGTGGCATATTTTATGATTAACAGCTGTTCCCAGTATGCTGACAAATAGAAATTTATTCGCCAAGTCCTCTTTCTTCTAATTTTAGACAAAAAGAACTGGCAACAACTGTTCCTCTTGCCAAATGCTGCCTAACTTAAATCAGTTCTTTCAAAAAGAAGTTGTAGAGGTTGCATTATGAGGTTTCTCTGCAAAAGGGGATGTGAGGAGGAGTGAAAATAATAAAACTTTCTAAGAGCGAGTTGACATAACAGTAGCTGTAACACATGATCCCTATGATTAAAACTTGAAAACTCTTTAAAGCCTTCAAAACTCTATCTTAATTAATTACAGAATTAAAAATGTGTGTGTTGTGACATGTTTGGATTCGGGTTCTTTGTTCTTTTCGCTCAACTTCTTCATGATGGTCTTGGTTGTTCCCTGTCCTTTGCCATTTCCTCATTTTTCTTTATTCAAAAAGTTGCTTGTTTCTGTGATTAGACTTCTCAGTTATCAGTGTCTTTTCATCTTTAGCCAGTTCTATCAGAAGCCTCACAAAATTCACAACACTGAAGCCAAATAAAAGCTTGATTTAATACAGGCTACTTTTTCTGATATTTATTATTGAGGTGCCATCCTGTTTGTTGCCATGTGCTTGGACAATCCTGCTACATTATCTCTAAGTTGTTAGTTGTTCACCACATCTTCTTTCCTTTACCTTTCTGAAATTTTCTATCTAATTTAAGAGCTATACTTAACTACATTGTTAGTCCTGTAGTGGAATTGGCACTTCTTAAGAATGTAAGTTATTTTCACTAAGTAGAAGAGTATCAGTAATTAAAATGTGATATTTGATTTTCAGCATTTCAATTCTAAAATACAGATTTCTATGAAGACTGCTTAATGCTTTGTTGGCTCAATGGTAGGGTTTGTGTTATCCTGTAGAACTAGTGTTTCAAGAATATTTACAGTAAATGCAGCCATGTTTCATTTGTTCAATAACTACAAATTACTCCTTTGTCTGCCAGCATGAGTTTGGAAAAAGCAGCATATCTGAAAAACCAATCAAATACCTTACCTGATGATGCTTCCAGAGAGGTTAGGATTGGCCTTTTGATATGTGTTTGATTGTGTTGTAATTTGGCATTAAGAAAGAAAGCAACTTCTGTTTCAGCAGACCAGACTATTTAAAGTCTTGTTTTAGCTTTGGTAGGAGTTTAAAACATAGTTTTTATGTTAAAATGTAGACATATTTAAAATACTGTTTTTCCTTTTGCAGCAAAATGAGAAGGAGAATTTGCTGAAGGAAAGAAACCACATTTTATCAACTCTGGGTGAGACAAAGCAAAATCTGACTGGACTTTGCCAGCAGGTGTGTAAGGAAGCAGCCTTGAGTCAAGAGCAAATACAAATACTTGCAAAATATTCTTCTTCAGATTGCCCACTCTCATTTTTGTTCCCAAAAAGAGAACAAACAGCTCCATCTGATAGTGAGCTCGTGGTACCAGCATCTGTAGAACCAGCAAATGGTGTTTCAGGTGTCACACCTACAGCTGAGCAGAGCTCCTGTTACCAGTGTGTCAAAAGCGTGTGTGAGGCCGCGTACGATCAAGTGCAAGAGCTGCATCCAGTTCCTGCCAGAGCATTGGAGCAAACGTCGCTGGGGGAGCCCTGTGGACAGAGCAGTGGCATCACAGACTTCTGCCAGCAAATGACTGACAAATGCACTACAGATGAATGAATCTCTCCTTCCCATTGCCAGCCCCTCGGCATTGCAACGAGAAGTGGGATTGAGCATTATTGGAAAGTAACTTACTAAGTGAGAGAGACGACAAAAGTTTAGTCTTTTGAAACTATATTGACAATTATGTGGTCACCATTATTACTTGGCAAGCTTTGGGTTTGCTCTGTGTAGTTCCAGAACATAATTTGTATGTGTCAGCCTCGGAGCTTTGTCTGTGTGGTGATGCCAAGGAGGGTTCAGGAAAGCTGTTGGAAAGTACAAATTCATGCACAGGTGCTTATTTGTGAGGAAGTTTTGTTCATGTGTAGAGCAGCCTACTCTGATTTATGCCACAGTACTTAATGTCACTCTGCATTTTAAGGAAAGCCTCGTGACAGCTGTTTATGCACAATGACTTCTATACCTGGAATTCTTCTAAGACTTCTTTTTTCCTGGTAGACAAACCTTAAGAAGCATATATAGCTCTGTAAATGTTCATTTTGTACACGGGCTGTTACATGACAGGATGAGGAGATTTTGAAAAGTGCCCTCTGGTATAGCTCCTTGCTTCCTGCTGCTCCCCTCCCCATCCCAGGGAAGACTTTACTGAATTAAAGTAGTAGGCTACTACTAGTAGTAGAGGAATTGATTGGTAGTAGGCTTTTATTGCATAAGTGGTTTTGTCTTGTCAATGTAGTACAGAATTAAAAGAACTGGAGCAGCAGAGGTGCTGCCACATAGTGCTCTCTTCTCTAAATTTAGTGGGAGGAATAACAACACACTGTGGAAGGCAGACATCTGAAACTGGTGCAGTTCTTGGATGAGTGTGCATTGGATCCTCTGGCATCTGAATCCCACAGGCTTATTAAAACTCACAGTTGTATTGTGACTTCCTGTCCTAGCACCTTCAAGCTTGCTGCTTGTTTGTGGCAAGTTGAAATCAAAGTATTGTCAAAGTCTAAGGACAGACTTTTTTTTTTTTTAGGTATTCAGGCGCCACATTTTTTTCTTTCAGTGCCTAGCTGCCTAAAGTAAGTTACAAATATTTGTTCTCTGATCACTGGGACCAGTAAAGTTCAATTTCAGAATCAATCTTCAGGATACTTTATGGCTAAACCTGTAGTATATTTTCAATGGCTTGTGCTATTAGCATAGATATATAAAAAGTTTATTGAAGAAATTAGCTGGAGTTACTTCCTTTATTACTTTGTGAAGGAGAAATTCAGCTACTGAAAATAATCCCCATTTTCTAGATTTTTACATAGCAGTGGGTGCATATTGTATACCAATGATGTTTTGTTATGTAGATGCTTTTCTCACACCAGAACTAAGTATTGAACCTCACCACAGAAAACTTTGGGTTTGCTGGTTTACAAAACATGAAGAATCTTGTACAAGCCAGTGGAATTCTTCATTTCCTACCTCAGAATGTGTATTAGCTTTTTGTGTCTTTATGTGCATGTACAGTAGGCAGCAACTAAGCAACAGCCCTTGTAAATACTGTTTTTCAGTTTTACCTTGCAGCAAGGCAAAACTTGTTCTTGGCAAGGCTCTTTTTTTCCTCTCCCCAGCATCCATAGGTAACATAGCATTAATAGATACAGTAAGCCACTTATTTAAAACAAAAATCTAAAAATTAACAGATTTCAACAGGACTTCTCATAACCAGCACGCAACACAAATGACTACACTACCTCACCTATGGGACTGAAAGTTGATTCAAATCTCTAGTGAATCCTTGGATTTTCATAATGTATCATTTACTTTTTTAAGGGAAAAAATATGCTGATGGCGCATAGCTTGTATAAATCACAATGCTTGCAGTAATTGAAATTCAGAAATAAATACTACATGGCAGACATCATGATAATTGGATTGAAATTCTTTCAAATTACATAATTGAGATATGATGATCCTGTATATGTATTACTTCATGAAGCTCTCTGGGCTTTTTCTTCAGTTTCTGTAGATTCCTGGTTAATTTAATCCTGTCTCCCTCCCATGCTGCCACCCTGGGAAGCATTTTGCTCTTATGTCTCCAATTTGTTTAAAAAGCAAGCCAAAAAGAAATAATAAAAAACAAAATTCAAAGCCCAAACCTCTACTGTTCATAACTACTATCACTTTTAAAGCTGGTGATATTCTGAAATGACGTGGACAATAGCATTGAAACATTGTCCTAGTAGTGCACATAGTTGGAAATAGAATTCCTTGGGTTAAGTCCTTATTATAACAAGGTGGAGCATCTTTGTAGGGAATGGCTTGTCCAGTGGCCCAAAGCCCTGACACACTTGGCTGCAGGTGTTGGAACACAAGGTCAGTGGTGGCCAAGTGTGAGTTGTGCTCCACTGCTGGAGTCTGGGCATCAGCCACAGCCTGAATTCCATGTAGCTGATGGTGGAGGGATTCCAGGGCAGGAATCATGGCAGTCATTGACCTGTGATAAAAGTTAACATCATGTTTTTAAACCTGACATGAACTTGATGAAGTTTGAGGGTAGGTTTTTGCCTGACCAGCTGCATCTAATTAATTTTTAAAATATTTATTTAATACCATAGACCTACAAGTTGCATGTTGACTTCTATAAGCCTATATCATCAACTTGCAAATGTTATGAATGAATGACAATTTTATGATACAGAATTCTCAGGAAAATGTTTTTTGGAGTTTGGTTTTATTTTTTTCTCTTCCAGTAAAGAAATATTCGTTTTTGAAATTGTAAAATACTTTGTTAAAGCATGTTTTAAAATACTTTGAATAGACTATCTTAAAGCCATATGGGTATGATGGCATACAGATTGTAAAATAAACAGATAATTACAACAGTTGATTTTGTATTTTTCATAATTCAGTATTTTCTAAGTCTGCAATAAAAACCACTATCCTTTCTACAAAGGCTTTTCTATTTTGTGTAAGTTTTCTGCTGTGAAAGTCTCTACTGGTGCAATATTCATTTATGTATTACTGCTCAAACAGTTCTGAAAATGTAGTCTCTATATAGTTTATAAATTTAATAGGCCCAAACCAGTAGCTTAGGATTCTTCAGACAAAGCTGACATCTAATAATACAGAGGTAATTGTACCCAAGTTGGGTATGTACTAATTACTCACGATATTTCCTCAGCAGTGTGTATTTTGCTATATTGATTTTCTTTTTTAATTGCATATTCTTAAATACATGAATTTTCTTCTCAACTTACTGAAGATTAAATTTGCCATGTGGAAGACTGCTGTTTCATGTGAATGACAGAGCCAAAATAGGCAGAATTTAAAACAAAAACCCTAAAAATGATTAACAAATAAGTAATGAGTGAGAATAATATAGCCATACAAGTAAGTTGAGTATATCTTGTTAACTTCAGAAATAACATTTAAGGCTTTCTTGGTATATGTCAATAGTCTAGTAATAATTCAGTATGATGCTTTAACAAGGTTTCCTAATGTTTTATAATTACTATTTCATATTTCCTGTGGAAGAGGAGGAGATGGATGTGAGAGATTTGGGAAGAAACAAGACTCAGTAACCAAAATAGCGCTCCAGAATGTGTGTATATTCAACTTAATTAACTGTTGAAGGCCGTAAGTCTCAAGCTTTCAGGTGAACTGGCATGATTTCATTTAGAAGTATTTGGTGATGAGAGAGACTGAAAAGTTCTAAATCGTATTGCAATTGTATTTCTCAGCCCAGTGGTGATAAATCAGATAAATACATTTCATGTCAACCTGGCAACATTTGGGACTTTTTCAGGTAATGATCTAGGAAATAAGGATTTTCAGTATTGGTTCTGAGTTTTCGTTCCTGTTACTTTGACTCTTGTTAAAAATACACTTGATTTGCTTTTGTACAGGATCCACTGAAGTCCTTCAGATGGAGCCTCATCAGCTTGCACTCCTACAGGCCTGTCAGATACTTTTAGGTGGCAGTGAAAAATGGTGTGTTGAATCAACATGTGAAGGTAATTTAAATGCAGATGTTATAACACTGTTGGTTGGTATTGTCACACAATTGCTCGTTGTAAATAATTACAACAAGTTATAAAACTACCCACATTTACAACATTTACTTGAATGCAGAACAATCAGCTATCAGCTGTGTGAAATTATCATTATTATTTTAAAAGTAGAAGGTTAAAAACCAGGGGACAGCTGCAGGGATAAAAGACAATAGAAGTTTGGGGGATATCACTGACAGCTGTCTGTTGGGCTGGTCCATTTTTCACAAGTGGTGTGTGAATGCAGGAATCTTAAAAGGTGCATGGAATTTTCAGACCCTTATTCTGGTCTCTGAAGTTAATCAGTCCTGCTTACCCATAAAACCATGGAACTTTGCTAACCTGCATCTATCCAGATGTTATCCCAAAAAGCCTATGGACCAGTCACAGTTCTTGTTGAAAATCTGTCCTGTGAATTGTTTCACAGGCTTTTATAAGGACTTTTAAAACACTGACAATTTCTGTGCTTTTATGTCCTTTCTTTTTTCCTCCCTCTACAAGAATTTTTGTAAACCTTTTACATGCAAATCAAAATAGTGGATGAAGGACTGAACGAGATTCTGTGCTTTGTGTTATACAGAATACCAGAATTTGTCATGGTCTTCTGAGTCATAAAATTACTATTTCAGCTTTGTGGTGGACTTACAAGACCTCAAAATCTTAACAGAGAAATTTGGATTCTTAACTGGTTGGAAATGTCAGAGTAACAGGCAACAACAGAACCGTGTGTGGGGACGTTCTTTTGCAGGCTTTGTCCTTTAGGTGTTTCCCTTCTGCTACATCCCAGGCTGACATGAACTGTGTAGTGTAGCCACACCTGCCAGTTCACACCAATGGACTTTAAAGTAAAATAAATTTTGGGGCTTGTATGCCCTTAGAGTTGCCATCAGAGGCATGTGCCTGTTCAAACCAGCTCTCACCATCCATCTCTAGCCATGTGCATTAAGGACACAACTGGGAGCTGTCTCTGCCCTAAAAGGCAGAGCATCTGTTGACCTCAAAAAGTAAGATTTTGTGTATGTGTGTGACCCCCTTTGTGAACTCTTCATGTTTTCATGTAGTACTATGCAGCTCTGAGTTAAGGCAAATTAATCTCTTGCATTGAACTTTCTTGTGCATGCTGTCATTGCTAGTGAGGGAAAAAATACCGTGATGTGAGCTCCTGAGAGAGCATGATGGTGCCTTTCCTTGGGAAGGAAAGCACCTTGCCACAGTATTGGTATGGAGATGATTGGTTGCCCAAGGGAGGTTAAGGCCAGCAGCATCTTTCTCTCTTGGCATTGTGTCCGTGGGAGCAATCCCCAGGGCTAACCAGTTTTGGGGGTGGTATCCAAATTTCAGAGGTTGACTCATGAAGGAGGATTACATTACCTCTCCTTGGGAAGGAAAGCACCTAGCTCCAGTGTTGGTAGTGCAGATTTGTAGGGTGCCTATAGAAATTCTTGGCCAGGAACAACTTTCTCTTGGCACTTTTTGTGTGGAAGCCATCCCCAGACATATTCTGGAGTGGGCTCCTGAAAGATCAAATTACCTTTCCTTGGGAAGGAAAGCACCCAGCCCCATTATTGGTGGTGCAGACACACCATGGGGAGTTAACAACCAGGAATATTTTATTTTCTTGGAAACCTTTGTATGGGAGCAATCCTTGGACATGTTCAGTTTTGGAGCTCAGCTTCTTATTTCAGTGTTGGGCTCATGAAAGAGGATGACAGCACCTTTCTTTCATCAGGAAGGAATGCACATAGTGCCAGTGTTGGGGATTTAGAGAAAAGGCTGCCTAGAGGTGGTAAAAGCCAGCAACAACTTTTTGTCCTGGATACTTTTGTGTGAGATCAGTCCCTGAATGTATTCAGCACTGCATGAATTCAGGATGGCTCCAATTTTCAGAGCAGGTCTTCTGAAAAAGAATGACAATACCTATCCATAGAAAGACAGAGCCTGATCCCATTTTCGGTGTTGGAAATGTGAGGTGTCCAGGGAGTATAAAAGCCAACAATAGGTTTCACTTCTAGCACTTTTCCTATGGGAGCAATCACCTGTTGTATTCATTTTTGGAGCTGGTATCCAAAGTTAGGAGAGGGGCTTCTGAAGAAGTATGGCAGTAGCTTTCCTTGGGAAGGAAGGGACATACTTCCAGTGTTGGCAATGATTTAAGGCTAGGAAGGGTTTCTGTCCTGGCACATTTTGTGTGAGAGCAATGTATTCCATAATTGTGCAGGCAGTATGCAGAACTGGGTAAGTGGCTCCTGAAGGAGGTTCCTTTCCTGGGGAAGGAAAGCATTTATTGACAGTGAGGGCGCTCTAGATGATTGCCTGCTTGATGGAGGTAAAGGCCAGGAACATCTTTCTGTCCTGGAACCTTCTGTGTAGGAGCAAATCTTGAACACATTCAATTTGGGAGCTCAGCTGCAAATTCCAGAGGTGGGATTCTGAAATAGGATGTCACTACTGTTCTTTGGGAAGGAATGCACAATAGTCTCAGTGTTGGTGGGAATTTGCCTTTGTCCTGCAAGATCAAGGATAGCAAACCAGATACATCAAAATAAATTATTTACTCTCATAGTCTTCAGATGACAACATCCCCTATTTCGTTACCACCTCCCAAAAAGAATCAGTCTGGGCTTGGAGCCCAAACAAAAGGTGCCAGGACAGAAAGCTGGTGCTGGCCTTTACCTCTCCTGGGCAGCCTCTCATCTGCACCACCACCATGGGGAATAAGTGCTTTCCTTGCAAAGTTGAATGCTGCTGCCACAAATTTCAGAATACCTCCTCCAAAATTTGAATCTGAGCACCATCATTAAAGAAATCCAGGGATTGCTCCCAAAAAAAAGATGCCAGAACACTAAGCTGATACTGGTCCTTCTCTCTCCTTGGCAGACTGTCATCTGCTCCAACAATATTGAGCTTAGTGCTTTTCTGCCCAAGGAAAGGCAGTCACATCCACTTTCTGGAGCCCACATTCAAAACGGAAATCAAATCTTAACAGGTTCCAAAATTGAGGCTATACAGGAGGCCCCAAGAGAACAAACTGTTACTGGCTTTTAGGTCTCCTGAGCAGCCTGGTGACTTCAACCACTGCTGGGGTTACATGCTTTCTTCCACAAGGAAAGATACAGTTCACTTTTTGGAGGGCACATGCAAAAGTTAAATTCAATCTTCAAAACTAAATGGGGCACAGGATTACTCTCCCAAAAAGAAATGTCCCAAGAAAAAAGGTTTTATTGCTGTTTACCTTGTCTGGGCAGCCCAGCATCTATACAAAAAACACTGGGGCAAGGTGCTCTCCTTTCCCAGGAAGATGTTTCACCCCCTTTCTCTCTCCCTCCTACAAATTTGGATACCACTGCTCAACTGAATACATCCAGGGACTAATCCGACACAAGACATTCCAGAACAGAAAGCAGTTGCTGGCCTTAACCTCTGTGAGGCAGCCTTTCATCTGCAGGATGAGCTTGTGTATATTTCCAAGGAAAGGTGATGTGATTCATGTTCAGGACATGAGCTCTGACAAATGGATCCAAGCTGCAAAGGGAAAAAGTGTTGCTGGTCTTTACCTCCCCTGGGTAAGTTATTTTCTCCTACTGAAACTTGTGGTCTAGGTGCTTTCCTTCCCATGTAAAAGAACTGTTGCTCTCTTTCAGGATGCCTCCTGCAATTTTGGATACATCCAAAGGTTGCTCGCACAAAAAACATTTTGGGACAAAGTTCTTGCTGGCCTTTACCTTCCTTTGGAAGCTTGTGGTCTGCAGCAGCAACACTGGCATTACGTTCTGTATTTCCTAAGGAATGGAACTGTCACTCAGTTCCTAGGCCCCACTTTGGAAATTTCAGGCTAAGCTCAAAAATTGAGTATGTCCAAGGATTGCTCCAACACAACAGGTGCCAGGCTAGAAAGCTGTTCCTGGCTTTCACCTCCAGTGGGCAGCCTGTGACCAGGACTTAAAACATTGGGTCTCCAGGTTTTCCTTGCCATGGAACAGCAGTTTACCAGCCAAAGAGGGAGTGCATGCTGCTAGAGTGTGATGTGAATTAAAGGTTGCAAATGGAATCTGAAGGCCAGACAAACCTTCCTGCCCTGGCACGTTGCTTTTTTTGCCAGGACTGATAATTTCAAGCTGGGATGTGCACCCTTCACTGCTTCTGGAGGACCAGGACATTTTCCTCTTTTGCAACTGCACTGTCGCCATCGTGTGGAGCTGGGCAACTGCAGCAGGGAAGGTAAAAGACACCACAAGCTTTTTGTTGGGACGCTGTTGGTGTGGGAGCAGTGAGTAAACTGTTTGGGATCTTGGGTCTGTAAGAGGGAAAGAATGGGAAGGGATATAGAGAAGGAAACTGAACAGCACCAGGTGTGCAGAGGCTGCAAGCAGAAGGTGATGCCCAGCACTTTCTTTTTGTTCTAGGACCTTAATCTGAGGGTTATTGGAGATTTCAAATTGGCACATGGACTCACCAGACTGTAGGAGTATGAGACCCTACATACAGCTGGCAAGAAAAGTGCATAGCCCCAGTGCTTGGGTGCACTGATAGGCAGTGAGGAGAAGGGGCAGTCCAGCAAATCCTTTTTTGCTGGTACATTTTTCTGTGTGAGCTGCACTTGTTTAATTCCCTGTGTCCGCAGCAGCTATCCCAAAAGCCCAATTATGTCCTTTTGGGTCCTTGAAATACCTTCTCCTGAGGCAATCTATGCCCACGATGTCCTGGGCCTCTGGGCCAGTCACAATGGGGTGATTCTGTCATTTGTTCACAGTCAGGCTCACTCAGCCTCCAGCACAGTCACTGCTGGGATCCCCCTGCCACCCCAGAAATACAGATGGATTCTGCCCCTACGCATCTTGACGGCATCAGGGTACTTTGTGCACCAGTGTCAATTAAAGCCTTATATCTGATGCCAGCCCACTGGATCCCATAGATCAGATTGTCCCTTTTCCCCACCTGGCAGGAGACAGGGCCCCTCTAGTTCTCATCATGGTACTCACTGCTCACTTCTTGTAAACATGAACTGGAATCCTTCAAGAGGACTGGATTTAACATTAGCCTTCCTGTTGTGTCTGAGGACTTGCCCACAGGAAATGGGAAAGGCATTTATACCTGTGCTGCCAGGGCAGAGGTGAGTTTTCCATCCCACTTCTTGATGTGCTCATTTATATCACATGCCATAAGCATAAATACTATTCAGTATGCAGATTGCTACAGTTCCCTGAAATAAAAGGTGGGCATACACGGAGAATAACACTTAATCCAAGGCTACTACAGCTCCCCACCTGCCTTGGACCCCAAGATCAACTCACCAGTGTTTTCATGTATACCAACAGATTTTTGGAGTGGTTTTCACTTACATTTAAATTAAATGCCTTGAGTTTTTTAGGACTACACTTAGATGATATTTAGTGATGACAGGAATGAAAAATTTGTCTTTACAAACAAGCTGTGGGTCTGTTGGTAGATAAAACCAGCACTGAGAGATAAAAGAAACAATGGGAAGGATTCCACTGATTAATGAATGGAAAAAGGTATCTGCTTTTACAAATGAACTTCAGGTTTGCTGATAAATGAAATTGGACATTGAAAGATAAAATAAACAATGGGGAAAACCCCTAAATTTCAAAAGAATTAAAAATTTAAAGGGAAGGTTATACATTAGAGGAAAATCTTCAGGATCAGGTGTATTGGGAAGTCTGTACCTCTCAAGCACCTCAGTCAATGGGGAAAGAGAAGGAAATGTGCCCAGGAAATTAGGATAAAAAGGAGGCTGCGTCCTCCAAAAAACTGAGAGGCCCCAGGGGAAATGCCCCATGCCCTCTCCCTTTATTCAAATAAAAGACTTCTCTGTCTCCTTTTTGGACATAGCCCTCTGATGTTTGTGGATTAATTTTCCTAACAGTGGGAAGTGTAACATTTTAATATTTACAAGACAAATACTTCAAAGTTTTCAAAATACCTTCATTTTGCTCCGTATCTTCAGCCACTCTAACCTGAAGAAAGAGGTTCCATGAATGACATTACAAAACAAAACAAAAAAAACCAAAGCAAGCAAACAAAAAACCAAACCCACCTGCCTCTCCCCCAATCCTGACACAACTTAAGCAATTTAGAAAAGGAAGGAGGGTCCAGAATTCAGAAGTAAACCATTAGTCCTATGAAATGAAAGTTGTTTTGAGCTTAGGAAGTGCCACCATCTACACGTGCACAGTAAGCACAAATTCTCAGTGTTTGCCAGCCTAAAACAAAAAACCAAACTTCACCATTTATCCAGATCTTCCTTTTGAAGAAGAGTGTTAAGAGTTCCATATTCTGAATGCAAATAACTTTTTAGTTACTCTACTTGGATTGCCACAGCTGCTTTTTAAAGGTCAGGATCCACTCAAAGTTCCCCTATTCTTCAACTCGTGACTTTTCACATATTTAAATGTTTTACCAGCCCTTCTGACCAATAATACGATCATTTTATTTTCAAAATAAGTATTTTTTTAGCAAATGAAAAGCTTATTGCAACAGTACAACATCTCTATATCCAGTGTGAAAGCAACATGGTGGTATAAATATGCATCACTGTATTACACAGAATCTATTATACACATTCCAGTTAACCATGGAACAATTAACAGGAGAAGATGACCACTGATTATGGGCACAAAGTATTTTTGTGAACAAGATTTTGAGAAACTTGAGGAAAAATCTGGTTTCTGGAAAGATGACAATCTTGGGATTCCATTTTTGTTTTCAATGAAGTCAATGATTTTTATTTTTAAGGATGCTGTATATAAGAATGCACTTTGTATTAAAACAAAGATCAATACTTTACAGTTTAAGAAACTTTACATATGTACATAAATTACACATCAGGAATGGTTTTAAAGCTCAAAATGAGTGGTGGGAAAAGTCTATTTTCCTTCTATTAGAATCTTGAACTCTTTTACGTTGTGATCATTTGCAACAGTAACAGCATGATCCAGAGCTCGGATACTTGCTAGAAGCTTTATGATCTGCTTGATGTGCTCCCTAAAAAAAGAGGCAGGAGAAATCAATACAGAAACAGAACAACCAATGACATTGACTAATTTTCCAACAGAAGACTACATTATGGAGCCATGTATTTCATATTCCTGTTGCAGATTTATTATATTTGCTTAATGAGGTAATGGCAACAGATTTGTTAAATGCTGGGAAAAAGCAAGACAGAAATCAAATTAGAACCTGCTATGAAAACAGGATAATTGGATGTTTCTCTTCCAATAAAAATTTTTACCAAGTTATCATTTCACGTGGTGAAAAAAGATATTTGAAATTTAGAAACACACCAGCAAAACAAGAGAGCTGAAAACCTTAAATAAATCTAAATCCCAAACTGTTACACAGGACTCTACCAAGACTGGAAGACTGTTCATTCCTGTGCTGCTGCTGCTCCCATAGCACGTCAGCTTACTTGGCCAGCAGCAACGTGTCTAATGCAAACTTTTAATTAAGCTGATTACTGGATTTAAGTAAAATTACTCTTGATCTCAGGCAAAACAGGTTCATCTAGTTGGCTGCATAAACAGTCAGAACTTCTGAACTGCATACAGAAGACAGTTTGCAATATAGAAGCCACTATGCAGGAGTCAGCAACAGACTCACAAGGTGAAACAGTCCAACAAAATTTGGCAGAATCATAGAAAGCTTTGGGTTGGAAGGTACCTTAAAGCTTATGTCAGTCCAGCTCCCTGCCAGGGACACCTTCCAGCAGACCAGGTTGCTCAGAGCTCCAGTCAACCTGGCATGGAGCATTTCTAGGGACAAGAAGCTTCTCTGGGCAACCTGTGCCAGGGCCTCACCACCCTCACAGCCAAGAATTCCTTCCCAATATCTAGCACAAATATCTCCTTCTTCTGGTTTAAAGCCACTCTCCCTTGTCCTGACAGTATCTGCTCATATAAAAAGTGCTTCTCCCTGCTTTTTATAAACCCCCTTAAGAATCCAGGACACTAAGCAGTAGTGCAAAATATATTATCAGTGTTCCAGTATTTCCAGCAGTTCTATTTTCAGACACCTTAAAAGTATCCATTTCCAACATCTGAATTCAAAGAAGTTTCCAAAGAGACACAGCAGGACAGAGAGAGTTACCCATGTTTGCATGCATTGGCAAAATAAATCAAATCACAAGAACTGCAAGTGCTTTAACTCAAAGTAAGTTACCTGGCATTTCTCTTCTCTACATCAGAGCAACCAATGCTGTTTCTGTAAATTGTATCAGCCAGGTGAACAAGGTATCTACAGAAGTTTTCTAGCTGAGAAATGGTCTTGTCTCCCGTTAGATTAGTGAACCACTGCTTAGGGAAGCAAGCAATTACCTACGAAAAACAGGAAAAAGGAAGTTAAATACAACGTAATAAAAATCTTTAAAAGCTATGTAACATGTATAACTTGTGAAGTCTGCCTAGTAAGGCTGCAGAGATAAGGCCCAACTGAGTGAAAAAATGAGAAAACTACCAGAAAACCCCACACCAAAATCCATGCAGTGAAGCACTGAAACCCACAGTATACCCAATCCATCTACAGGCATGACCCAGAGAAGGTTCTTTCTTTAGTCTGTATACTACAAAAAAAGAAAAATAAATCTATTTTTCACTGACTACAGCTTTTGAGGTATCAAAGCCAAGATTTCATAGGCAACATCAAGTTTTAACTATATTTTTCTTTCAGTTTAAATCCATTACTTTAAACATTGCTTGATTTTACTTACACTTTGAGCTTTCTTAATGCTGTCCTCTCCATACTCTGAGTTTTGAAAAGCCATAAGAATGTATCTATTTAGCAACCCATCTATGGACAGCTCCTGCAGAGTTTTGTTTGAGAGGATTCCATACCACTGGAGAAAGTTTCCCAATAACTAAAAATACAACACAGGGAAAATAACTATTCCAAAATGTACTGAAACCAGAGAGTTTATCAATACATCAAACATTTTAAAATATTTTAACTATTTTGCAAATCTATTCAGAATACAGTCTCCCTTGCTGCTGCCATTTGAACAGAAAATTCCAGAGAAAAGTTCTGCTTGTGTGATCATGGAGAGTTGTTCAATCAACATCAGTCTCTAGTTATCTGTTTAGCTGGGAGATATTTTTTCAGTCTTTTATTGGACAAAAACTATGCCAGCCACAGCTTTGAGCTCCCACATTCCCCAAAAGTAGTGTCTTTTATTCTGACAAGCACAAGGATATAAAAAACCTGGGGTGAGTAAGCTAAGTGACCCCATAACATTCAAGTTGAAATGATGGTGCTTCCACTCGACCTCTTCAACTACAAAACCAATTAAGTTGGAAAAGACCTCTGAGATAAGTCCACTCTTAGACCAAACACCATATAAAGCAGGACTGGGCCCAAAAGTGAGCCCTGGGGACACCACGAGTGACTGGCCACACCACCAAGAGGGCACGGTGTGTTATCAAAGACTAAGAATCAAGAGTTGGAGTTTTTGCAAGTGAAGTTGAAGCAGTTTCCATCTACTGTTTTCCACAAATTTGAGGAGGATTTTATTGCTACACTGTCTTAGACCAAAGATTTACTGGACATATTTACTGACTTACCTTAACAGAGGACCAAAACTGACGTTGGAAAAACAAATATGGACCAGAGTTCTTGTTTTCTAAGATGCTGGAAAGTAAGACATTTCTTTAATGAGCAACCAAGACTACACCTGTGTCTTGAATTTGCTGGCTTTTTCCTTCCAAGACACAGTTCACTTCCATAAATATTCCCTTTCATCCTTCTTGTCTGCCAAATGCTCCCAGAAGGATAACAAAAGATCTCCTGTACCCAGGCACTGAACCACACTGGGAAAAACCCCTCTTAACTATGGACAGAACACAGTGACCTGCTAAGAAAGGTCTAACAGCATAATTGAAAGTAAACTTACTTTTTTGGATACAAGGGCATGAATACATCATCATCTAGTGTTCTCCTCATCCTTAGCAACAAGGCCTTTAAAAGCATCTGAAACAAGTAATTTTTTTTTAATGTCCAAAGCACTGCTTAGTATTTAAACACTCAGAAACTGATTTTTAAAGCAACAAAGAACACTTGTGACCATAACACTAAACATGCATACATACATTTGAGCACACAAATAAATAGTCTTAAAGAAGTCTGTAAGAATCAACAGAGCAGAAATTTGACACTTTCAATTAAAACTTGAACTCTCATTACCACTTCCTGCATTCCCAGAAGGCAAGTAAAACAACCCAATTTCCAGGCAATACATTTGACAAAGCTGCAAAGATCTAAAAAAGAAAAGTCCAAGTATTTGTAGCCAACCCTTACAGCAAAACTGGAGACCAGCAAGTCTTACTACATCTGGTGTATCTTTTTATCTCTGGTATCTATTTTGGGAAGTCTTCACTGAGTTTCTTCTTTTAATTTATCACCATACTTTACTCCCCACAATCAGGCTGCAGAGCATCAAATAATTTAAAGTTCTTTTTCTTGCTGTACTTCCCAACATAAGGTATTAAAAATGTATTCAACTTCCTTAACTTATGCAACACATTGAAGAAAAAATCCAACAACTTACTTGTGTATTTTTGTTTTCTGCATTCACCACTGAGGGATAGCCATCTATTAGTTTCTGTACAATTGCTACCATTCTAGATGTCTGTGTGGTAGAAAAGGGATCCCAGATATTTTCAGAAATTACTGTAAGAGATTAAAGAATTACTCCACTTTACAAATACTCAAATACCGTAATTATTATACAAATACAGTATTATATACTCAAATACAGCATTATATACTCAAATCCATGCAATTATTTATGAAACAATAAAATCTGAAAGCACAAACAAGCATCAGACTCCACAATCCCCTCCCTCCCATTTTTTAAGCCTATACCTGTTAATTTAGGAAGAACAACTCTCTCTACAATGGTAGGCAACAGTGAAATATCAGCATCATCTTTCACCTGCTCCTGCTCTTCACAGCCATAGAACAGCAATGACTCAAACCACAACATTGTTTCAAAATCTCGACACTTGCCCTAATAAAAAAAGAATTCGGGTTAGATTCCTAAACAAAGACTTGAAGTCAACATATAGAAGAAGTATTAAGTATGCGAGTATGATAGACACACAAAAACAACTTTAAAACACTCTGTCAAATGAACCAATTCATTCTACCAGCATAGCCACTAGATGTAATGAAAAGAGAAAATGGCTGAAGCAAGACTGATTTTTTAACAGTTTTTGCCCCACAGAATTTAACTTACGCCTAAACCAAACAAAAGCCTACAGATTAGGGTACAAGTCAGAAGTACAGCTCAACTGTGCTGCATTTTAAAATTATGCCTTTGGGGTTTAAAACCCCTTTCTATGAGCACCTTGTACTTTTTCTACCTCAACAAAATGCTTACCAGGATCAGTAACAGAGAGTAGAGAATACTCTCTGTTAGACTTTACAATTCTGTACCATGTCTCCAACTAACATGAGCTTTGTTTTGTCAACCTGAAAACTCAGAGAAATAGCATGGGGGAAATGAGAATGCACAAAAAAATGTTTTAAATTTAATGATGGAGTCTTTCTTAGGTTAATCCTTGTTTAATTAATGAAGCCAGACATCAAATTAATAAAATTATTTTAATACTCTGAACTTTCTCTGAAGAGAAGTCATGCCTCCTCCACCTCCACACTTGGAGAAGAGGTGACAGAAAAACCCCTTCTGCAGATATTCTCTTGGTAGGCTAAGGAACAAAAAAAAAAACGCTTCTGAAAAAAAGAGGAACAGAGAGGGAGTCAAACGCTACCTGAACTGTTTGTCCTGGAGGCATCTCATGAAAACATACATATCCAGGCTGGACAATGAATGTGTGCCAGGGATACTGGGCTGCCACAGTGCTGACCTGCTCTTCCCACGTTCCCTACATAATAACTGGGCAGTGAGTACTAAGAGAAAGACTTGGAAATTGCCAGCCAGAATTCTACAGCGTATGGAGGTGTATGTGAGAGACACATACATAACCTAGAGACACAGGTTGTAATGCCATGTAAGAACAAACTTCTTAGTTCCACTTCTGACGAAACAGCATTATCTAGAGTCACAATTTTCTCTGAAGTAATTTAAAGACTAAATGCATTTTCACAGAACCATACAATGGTATGGGTTGGAAGGGACCTTAAAGATCACCTTGAAGTTCCAACCCACTACAAGTTGCATGGGCAGTTGCAGTTTTTTTGGTTTACACCACTTCCTGAGAAGGATCTGGCAATGTGCCAAATTTAACTCTGGTTTGCTGGGAACAGCAGATCAACTAGTCCAGGCACCCCCCAGAAAAACTTCGCCCCAAGACAGGTGCCCATTTGAAACTTCATCCCTAGAACACACCTTCAGGAGAAGCATACATCAAAGGTGCAGGTTACTTTGCTCAAGTGTGAAAGAAGCACCATGTAGCAGTTAACACAGAACCTGCTTGCAGACAAGCTTACCTCCAAAGGAGTCCAGGTAAGCAGCTGAAGTCTGATTAAAGGGTTAAACAACTTTGGTAAACAGAGGCCAATATAAGCATCCTTATAAGAAGCAAAGTACTTGGAGCGCCAAGCTTCAAACTGTGACTTAATGCAATCAATGGAGTAAAAACTTTCCAAAACATCTTCGAAAACTTTGCTGGATTCTTTCAATATGCGATCTAGCAGGGGAGAAAAGGAACAAAAAGTTAATCACCTCCTCCCTGCAGTGCCTCTTTCAAGACATACTTTACGCTCACTGGCATAAGCTAACTCCCATAAACAAAACCAAAATAAAAACCCCATCACCTTTAGAAGCTCTGTTACTCCTGCCTCAAACACACAAAGCTATAAAAACAGGAACACGAGTACTCTCCAACAGACTCGTTTATCACAGGTCTTACTTTTAACATTTCATGGAAGGATTTTAAGTTACCAGACACAATTAGGATTGGTGAGGTATTGGGCTGTATTCAGAGTGGCTCTAACTTCACAGCTGGCCTTGCTTTGCATGGGGGTTTCAAACAGGGCCTGATCTCCAGGCCCCTTCCAACCCAGATTATTCTACACCTTTGATAATCCAAGTGCAAATACAGGAGGGCATCTCAGATAAGCCAACTGAACTGCCAGTTCAGACAGGGTGGGTCCTGGCAGATACCATGCTAAAATGCTGCCCAGAACATGCCTGTTAGCACTGGTAGTGATTACAGGCCTCTAACACCTTTTCTTTTCTTTTTTTCTTTTGTATTTACAGTACCAGTATTCTAGGCAGTCCAGACTTTTTCTCCATATATTATTTTCCCTTTATCTTTTCTACTTCTCAGGGTTAGTTTCAGTTTAATCAGTCATATTTGCCACAGCTGTGTTTGGTTACAGTAGTAAAAAGCATTGAACACAACTAGTACACACAGCAGGCAAAGACAGGGCTGAGGGAACATGAGATTATGCCATATAACCACACTTTTCATACTGGGATTAAGAAAAAACAGTACATATGAAGTTATTAGGTCCAAAGTGCACTCCTCTATTCCACTGCTGTTTCTGGACTAACACGAGAGCCATGAACAATAGTAAAAAAGCTTTACAAACACGATGCCTCTTCAGAAACTGAGGACATTTCTACAAAATACTTTTGCACACATAAATTGCCAAGTTACCAAGTGCAATTCAGCCCCATTGAATCTACATAATTTAATTTAACAAAGTTAATTATAGTACCTAACAACCCTGAACAGTTATTCTGTTTATCCAAGACCCCCTCCCTGTAGGAAGAAGAAAATCAGTGCAATCATAAAATTGCAGTAAATTAGCCAGCAATTAAAGGTGTGGAAAGTGTCTGCACTTCCAAAGGACCTAACAGCCAGAGAGTTCATCTAATTGCTTTTCTATTACGTTCTTACTCTGGGTCTCCACAACCACCTACATCAATGACTTTGCCATTTATTACCTTCTCTGTGGGAAATGACCTCTTTATTTTAAACCTATCCTATCACTTAATTTCATGATCCCTAGCTTTCATACTGTGAAAAGCTGATATTGTTCTACTTGGAGAGACCAAAACCATTCAACCCCTCCTCAAATGCAACATAAACAATTCTGTGTATGCAATCCTTGCTGGTCTCCTCCTCCTCACATCTACCCTGATGCTCTTTTAATTAGAAAAAATGCTAATTGTACCACAAGATCGTTCTGCAACGTTTGCATTCAACATTGTTTTCTATCATTTGCACACTTTGCCAAGCTGCAACAAGACTATACAAACCTTTTATCATTGCATTTCTAGAAGCTTATTCACAGCGCCACAAAACTTCATGAACAAAAAAGACTTCTAAAGCACTGAGGTTTTCAAAATTTCCCAAGTAAGACAAATATGTATTTCAAGAATGATAAACTATCATACAAATTGAAAGACTGACAGTCCAAAAGCTTACTGCCTGCCAGCAAAAGCATGTTAGAATTAAACAAAAAGAACCTCACTAAGGATGGGTTATTCAGTCAGCTGCAAGACACACAACAGGCTGGTGATAGAGACTATTCTGGTCACATTGATGATACAGGAATCAAAAGTTCCTAAACTCCTTCCAAAATATGGTGAAGTATATAAAAAGGGCTGCGTTTGGATTCTGTCAAGTCTTTGGGATGTTGTTATGTAAGAGAATTAGGATTGTTCAGCCTGGAGAAGAGGCTTCAGGGTAACTTCACTGTGGCCCTAGAGTACCTGAAGGGAGTCTGTGGGATGGAGGGACTATTTACAAGGGCCTGGAGGGAAAGGACAAGGGGGACTGGCTTCCCACTGACAGAGGGCAGGGTTAGACAGGATACTGGGAAGAAATTCTTCCCCTGTGAGGGTGGTGAGGCCCTAGCACAGGTTGCCCAGAGAAGCTATGACTGCTCCATGTCTGGAAGTGCTCAAGGCCAGCTTGGATGAGGCTTGGAGCAACCTGGTCTAGTGAAAGGTGTTCCTGCCCATGGCAGGGCAGTGGCACTGGGTGGGAGTTAAGGTCCCTTCCAACCCAGACCATGCTGTGATTCTGTGATTAAGCCTGGGTAGCTTTTCTAACCTCGCTCCAAGTTGAAGTTTGTGATATCTGTTGAAGTTTCCTCGTCATCACTGGAAAGGCCTTCAAGGTGATCTGCCATCTTCCCAGTCTGCTCTCTGGCTTGTCTGCGGCGAGCTCTGGAAAGGAGCAGCAGTATAAACCAGCCATGACAAAGCAAGAGAAACCAGCTGTTTTCCCCACCTATACAATGAATATGCCTACTTAGGCTTGTCCTTCTAGTTCTAGGGAAGTCAAGCTGAAAAGAACTTCTTCTATGCCACAACCTCAAGCATTCCACTACATTGCTGCCTCAAACAATGAAAAGAAACAAAACCAGCAGACCATATAGATATGGAATGTATTTACTATGCTTTCTTTTAGTGATTTTAAATCACTATCAGGGAATGTTTTGTACACTTGCCCGATAAGCTGGGATATATAAGAATAGCCCTGCCCAGCATACCAGCTGAAGTGTTTTCTTCCCTTTTCAGGGAAGAAGCAAACATTGCCACTTATGTTAGTAAGTCACACAGGACAGTTGTATCTTGCAAGCAAAGACTCCTAAAGAAGAAATCTCATTCTCTACCTCCTAGCCTCTCTTTCTGCAGTCCGACGCTTCACTTGTTCTTGATAGATCACTCTGTCTCGCCCAAAAGAATCAAGATTTGGAGCCATCAGTGCTTTACCTGTAAAATTACATCAATGAAAATTAAAATGCTTATTTATGATTCTATAAATGTGCTGTAGGCAGTTTCATAAGAGCCTTTTACCCACTTTTAAACTAAGTGTAATTTGAAATAGAAAGTTGAAGTTAAAAAAAAACAAACCACAATGCCCCCCAAAAGCCTGAATTCACGACGTGTAGAGGTTAAAACAGAAAGCAGTGGACTTTGGAAAAGTTTCAAATGCCAAATAGTTTTCACCGTACTTCACTCTTATCTCTCTCACAACAGTGCCAAACTACACAGAAGTCAACAGTTGTAACAGAAATAGCTTAAATGAAATGTCCAAGAAAAAAGTGTTCCTTACATAAACACATTCACCACTAAATTGTTAAGAAGAAAACTAGCAAAAAGAAAGCAGACAAGAGTGACTGGGGCAAGAATATATGTTATTTCAGAGTTCTAGTCACATTGTTTCTAAGTTCATATGCTTTAGATTGCCTCAAGTTTAAAACACATCAAAATCTACAGAAAGATAAACCATCTTCCTTCCTTTTTTCAAGCTCTGCTTATTTATGTTCCTGGCTATGGAAAACAACACAGCTAGAACAGTAGACAGCAGGCAGGAGTGTTTCCAGTTCCTCCTTTCCAGGTAAATTTTAAACAGTAGACTGAATGCCAGCCACTGCTCAAGTCCACCCATCATAGTATTAACATCAACATTTAAACAACAGAACAGCCTATCCAAACATTCCAAATCAGGAATAAATTTACATGTTCTGACAAAATCTATTTACGAATTCATAATTTTAAGTATTACTGCCAATCTATGTCAATACTCCAATTCAAGACCTGAACTACAAAGAGCCTTGTCTAAACTGCCAGACACTAAATAATATCTTTCTCTAAAACCCAACCTCAGTAATGAGAACTATTCCCATCCTAATATTAAGTATCAGTATAAAAAAAATCCACTCTAATCTTCTTTCAGGAAACAGATTTCTAGTTCTCAAAACAGCATTTTCATGATGAAACTGCAAGGCCATGTGATGCCTGGAACTCCACCCAACAGTCCTAAAAAGAATATGTATGCTAACCACTCTATAAAGGAATGATCACTCTGACAGCTTAACATTTCATCACCTTTGGTGAGTTCTAGTTAATGGTATTAACAAGATTTCATCTCTAACAACTGTGGCAGAACAGGGAAATGACATTGATTAAAGAATTTTACATCAGCAACAGGACAGAATGCCATTTTTAAAAATGAGAACCTCTCTGAAGCATAAAGAGGAATGGCTCCTCTTTATGAATCCTCCTGTTAATAGGATAATTCATCCACTGATTTAATATGCTGACCAAAACCTCCTCCAAGAAACAGGTATTTCCATCCAAATGAACATTTACACCTTTGTAGAGTTTTACATACTGAAGAGTAATCACCACAAGAAACCTCCTTAGTGAGAATCCCCCATCCACAAATTCACAGGAAGCAGGCATTTTAACTGGCTATTCTTAAGCTGTATTTCATACAGGGTCACTGTATTAGTCTGATTAGTCTTCCAGTTCTTTAATTTACCAGTAAAGTGTCTGAAATCAAATACTTATACTGGCTACAAAACAGAACATTAGATAGAAAGTCTAGCCCAGTGCTTCGTGGCTTTATACAGTTAACTGTACATGTTAAATGACATTTATAGATTCAGGAAGGTTAAAATAAATTTTTTTAAAGTTCTGATATAAGAAAATGGGGAGTCACATAATACCACTACTCTCACAGCCACCATGCACACATTTTTAGTGCTAGGAAGGAGAAAATATAGTTAAGAGAAACAGTAAGGAGAGATGAAATCAGAGTTACAGTGGTTTCGAGTTTAAAACAAAACAGATTAGAGAACTTTCATCTAAACTTGCTTCTACTTATCTCAAGAGTAAGAATAAACTTCAATAAGACAGTAATACATTAAACAATGACATTTCAATTAAGTCATACTAAGTAAACAAGGTTGTTTAATGAATAATAAAAACCTTCAAGATGGACTGACTTGAATGGCTTGAAAACTCCGAAGATTCATCTTTAATATCATCTTGTCGTCTTTGGACAAGGCGGGAAGCTCGCTGTTTGTACAGCTGGTGCATTGCAGACTCAAGCTCGTTAATCAGAGGCACCTGTAAAAATACAACACACCACGTAATACCCGGATCCTGAGCTGCTCAGCTTCTGGGGTCCCAGTCTATTCCGGAGCAAAACGCTGTCACTGTGCTCCCAGCAGCACCAAGTCCTGCCTTTTACTGTCTCACTTGCACCAGGAAATAATTCCATACATTTAACACTGGCAGCCTTCAATCAGAACAAAAGCATTCTGAAAGCAACTTCCACGGCTTGAATGAGCCTACACAGCTAGACATCCTATTTAGAGTGTGAAATATTCTTTCCAGTATTCTTGCTTTCCCTACCAAGTGTGTCACGTGTTATGTGGAGGTCTGCAATTCTCAGACATCAATTGTTTCCTCTCTACCTCTAAACAAGAATGCAGAAGTATTTTACACTTCAGTGAGAAAATAATCTGACTTTTTTACACAGTGAAAAAAAAATCCATCAATCCAACCTACTGAAGCCAGCAGCTACTGTTCTGTGTCCTCTAACTCTTAATAGCACATGCTGAAATATTATGACTGAAATGAAATAAAATCCTGCATAAGGGTGTTATGCCAACAGGTAATTCAAATCAGTCAAATACTCCTCTGGCTAATCACTATAATTAAAATAGTACAATTTGTGCAAGTTATGTATTAAGCATAACCTTGAATTAATCAGGTAGGTCATGTCAGACGTGTCACTTTTTTTCTTTAATGAACTATTTTGGTAGCATCTCTAATAAAAATAGATGATATTATGCCAGCCAGGAATTTCCTGACATTAAATAGCAGGCTCACTGCTCTTTTTTTTTTTTTTCTTCATTTCCTTTGAAAAAAAAGTCCTTTTGGTATGAACACTTAAGCCATGTCCTCCTTACCTCTGAGATGTATGCTTACTCCACAGTCTTCCAGCCTTTTATATTTCATTGCTGCCTACCATCCAGGATTATGTTTTTTTCAAAACAAAAGGTAAAATCAGAAATTGTTTCCTGAAGTATTTTAGAATGTGACTCAGCAACTATTGAAGTTCAGTAAAATGTAAAATTCTGAGTTCATAACTACAGGGCCATTTCAGCTCACTGAGACTGACATACACATCAGAGAAGAAAAAGGTTTTAGCTCTGTAGGATGAACGAGGCTCCAGGGATTAAAATGAAAGCAGCTCTGCACCAACTCAAAATACACACACCTTTCTTTTGGAGAAAAGAGTAGAGAGAAGACAAGGAGGGAATAATCTTCCAAGAGCTGGAAGTTCATATTTGGAATTTAAGAAAGTTTTGAAAACAGAAATAATAGTTAAAAAATACTGGCTTTACTGCAGTTTACCAGAGGAAATATAGCTTCTTCTCTTAAGCATGTAGAGGAAATTCTAAGATTGAAAAGTTAAATGAAAATTTATCAATACATCCATAGTGGTTCTTTCTGCAATTTTCTCAGGATAAAAGAAACCAAGTGATTTATTCAGATATATGAATCCACTCAAAATATTTACCATTCAGAAAACAAGAGACTTAGAAGCCCTAATTCTTCTCTAATCAATACTGTAGTTAATGACTAGCTGACAATTTCACTGACTACTATAAAGTTATAGCCCTCATTCCCTGTTTTGTTTATTCAGTACTTTAAATTCAGTATTTTTAAGGGGATTTTTAAGTCACTTTCCTTGTAAACAGTGGAAGAGGAAAAGCAGAAAGGTCTCTAAACATTTAGATCACAAGGATAATTCAGATACACAGAGCCTATTTTGGTAAATCACTTTTGCAGGTTAAGTAACAGTTCATCTACTTGTGCTGTCAAAGGTACGCCCAGAACAATTCAATCTTTCTGAGTCCACTGTACATTCCTACAATCAAAATGTAAAAATGCCATTGTGACTCGCCAGCCTTCTCAGAAAGCATAATTTTTACAGTAATTACTTCTGAAGGAAGTCATGCAACCATCTTCCACTCCACTCTTTTTCTTATTTATGGGGGGATAAAAGGTATTATACAGGATATGACCTTTCTAATGCTTGTTTCTAAAATCTGTGCAATAGCTGTCTTCTCATACTCTGCTGAGCCTTAAGACTGGGCAAAGTGATGTGATCCTAACATTCAGAATTTCTTCAAAATATCATATTTAAATGTACATTTTCATATATGTATATATATATATAAATATATGTATATACACATATGGGATTATTATTACACATATATATATTCTTATGTATATTATAATAACTACATACATTATTGTAAACAATAACAACACTTTAAATAGAAGCAGTCAGGGCCACAGGTTCTACAAAAAAAGCTGAAGGTAATTTATCTCTACACTCAAAAGATTAAAACTATTTACCATCCTACCACATTCCATTTAAATAAAAACTGATACTGATTTTATTACTTGACTTTGTTCCCTTCTGACACCTCCTTTTTAGAAAACTTTTCAGTATCCTGTGGACTACTGGTTCTGAATTTGCTCGTACTTGTGTCATGCTGAAAGCACTGAATTCCAAACCACATTATCTAGCCAAACAATATCAAAATAAATGAAATGCTCCTGCTAGACTGACCACATCACCTGCTGCTTTTGCAATTCACTCTACATACAAGTACAGTAGCAGCCTCCACCTGAAACCAGCAAAACTCTGTGAATGCCTTTAAGAAGCCTGAGATGATAAAAGTCACATCTTAAAAATATTTGAACAAGACAGCTTATGCTATCGAGGAGAACCTCCAGACATGGTTTATAGTCACAGAAGTAATTTAACACAAGGTCTTCAGAAAGCAAACAATCAATAGAGACACAGATCACAGATATTTAACTTGACTTCTGAAATACAAATTTATCTCAGAGTAAAAATGTAAAAACTTATCTTTAATAGGAAATCAGCCATCTGGGTAAGCAGCACTGCCAGCCGTGCTTATAAAAGTACCTTTATCAATCTTCAACAGCTAATGCTAATACAGACTCAGGAATATGGCTTCTTAAGTGAATAATCAATTGCAACTAATTAGTTACACTAACCAGTCAGCTGGGTGAATTAACTGTCCCACACTTCATGGGTTTCCTCATGACATAGTTACTCTGCACTTTTACAGGATGAAGACTGGACTCTCCCAGTTCCGCTAACAGAGGAAAATTAGTATCTAACCCATCAGCACCCAGAATACTTCTCCATTTTTCTCCCACACTTAACAGGCTAGGCAAGCAGTAGCTTACAACTACTCAATTGTTCTGACAAGATATTAAGAAATTAATATACTACTACTGTATTCAAATCAGAAGACAATGAAGAAATAGCCAATATAGTGCTAACTGAATTCTACAGCTTCTATATGTGCTTAATACCTTTGTGTATATATATATATTCAAGAAAGTAAGTTATCAAAGCACGGTGCATAACATAAGAAAAAATACTAAGTTTTTGACTTAGAGATGCATAAAGGTATCACATTATATGAAAGAAATATATTTTTAAGTGTGGGTGTCTTTGAACAGCTATGCTAGTTTTAAAACTTCTCTCCTTCAGACTCCAGAGCAATACCAAGAAACACCTGGCAGGAGGAAGTTTATAATAACACAGAAAATACAAGCCCCTGTTGTTGTGTACATCAAGCACTCCAGAAAGCAGTAATGTCATAATTCAGCCCTTATTTTTGCTAACCTCATGTCCAACACAAGAAAAAAGGAGTATCTGGGTGAAGTTGAAATGCAGAGTATCTACGAAAATCCTGAGGACATAAAACCTGCAAGTTTTTAGGCAATCTAAAGTCAGTGAGCTGGGAGGAGAGATTTCTGATAACGAGCTTAGCATGACAGAAAGTTCTTATCAATCCTCAAATAACCAAACCTTTTGAAGAATATGCTCTCAAAGAACTTTTTTCAACAACAGAGGGAGATGTGCTGTTTGGCATGTAATAAGAGACCTTTTTTTTTTTTTTTTTTTTTTGTAAAGAGATGAATGTTTTTGCATCCTTACCTTTTCACTGAAACACTCAAGCAAGTCTTGGACATACCCTCGCATTTCTTGCAAAAACTTATACCGTTCACCAATACCCCCAGAAGACCCTTCTAATCTTTCAATTGCCTTGGTAGAGTCCTCTTGGCTTTGCTGATGTTTCTCATATTGCTGCCGATTAGCTTTGTGCATTTCTTTCATAGAGTCCAACCTGAAGGGCAATGGATAAATAGTAAATTTACATCCAAAAGTCTGTCTACTTCAGACCATTGAGACATCAAACAGACAGTACAGTGCAAGTACTGAGCCTAGAGATGGGAAATTTTGCAAAGAAATTCTTGACCTTTGATTTGTCACCTTCTCCCCTCTCTCCCCTCTCTTCATGAAGCACAAGGCTAATGATGGACACTCCTGTGCCAGACTATGCTGTAGTGCATTGCACTGCCCACTCCTACAACCTTCTACAGGAGTTGATAGCACACAGAATAGTGCAAGGCTGTCCCTAATGAAAAGCTGGCAGAACAGGTTGGGGATGGATGGGGACTACAGCTTATACGAAGTATTCTTTTTCCTCTACTAACTAGATTCACTGTCAAAGGCTGCAACACTATGAGGGGCATACAAACCAATTTCGAAGACATGTAAAGTGCAAGCTGTTCATTACATATGATATCTCATTGCAATTGTGTTGCTCATTCCATACCTTCTGCATACCTGACAAGCAGATTACAATGTTTAAGCCAAAAACCCCCTGTATACACTAAAAATTAAATTATTTATCTACTGAAGGGGAAATCTCTGATTCACAGTTTAAAGGAATGCAGCTTGATAAGCTAAACACCTCACTGGCCTTTCATTTCTTCACTATAAGACTGTGCAGTGTCCAGAAGATGGAACTCAGACCTCTCTTCAACAAGATCAATGGCCTCATATTTAAAGTTTCACTTCCAGAGAAGCAATCCAAGGAGATTTTCGAACAAAGTGTCAATGTCATCTTCACTTTGAGCTTTTTTTGTTTGCCTTTTTTTTTTTTAATGGATGTACCAGTCAGTTTCCAGCGATGAAACTCTGTGTTTGCTCACCGAGACTAAAAGACACCTGAGGAACAGAAACCTAGGGGACAGGTCTTTAAGTCTAAAAAGATGGTCTGTCCTACCTGTCTTTAAGCTGTTTCTTTACCAAATCAATAGTAACAGGAGTCATCTCATTACTGGGAGTTTTGAAAGGAACTGTATTATCTGTTTTTTGAGCCTTGGTTTCCGATGATCCATACGCAGCATAGGTGTATGGAATGCCATATGAAGAACCATAAGACAGTGTCTGGTAAGTGTTCTGGTAGTACACATTATTCACTTCTGCAGGCTGACTTGGTTGAACCTAGTGGCAGAGGAAATGTAATTGTACTATGTTAGGCTTTAAAGAAAGGGGAAACTTACTTTTTTATACATTTCAAATCAAAGTGAAAAATGCAAGCAGATACAGTTAAAAAATGTAATTTTCAAGGGGATTTTAACATCCAATGTCTAAGATGGAAAAAACAAATGCCCTCAAGAAGGTAGATGGAGAAATTTTTAATATCATTACCATTCTAAATACTTACACTATTTCTCTTTAAAGAGCATCAGAATTTACAGACTTAATTTCTCAAATGAAACAGCCGTCTGTAAACTACTCAAGTTTGTAAAGGATTTAGCCAATACTTGCAGAAACAAATCAATAAAGAGTGCACAATTATATACGTGCCTGGGGTATGTTGATCCCTTTTCGTATCTGCTCTTGCTCCCATCTACTGAGTTCTTCATCTTGCTCCCCTGCCACTAGTGCTTCATCATCGCTTCCCTCAATACCTTCACGCAAGTAAGAAAAAAAAGATAATGCATTCATAATTGTAAGGACCACAAATTCAAAAACTTGAAACCATGCCTCAGTGAGAACACCTCAGAGCATTTTCCTTTCCTCTTCATGAGGAATTAAGGACACTAGCCTGTGAATTATTAGCACAGGGGTTCCACTTGAAAGATCCAATGGGAAAATTCACAATTCACTGCTGGTAAAATCCTCTAATGTCTAACTCCTTTTCCAAAAGGTTATTTTACCTGCTAGCCAGCAAAAAGAATTCCATATAAAATGTTTTTCTTTTCACAATTATATACTTCCTAAAAACAGAGTACAGGAAAAACAGGAATTGATCCTTAGTGTAAGTTTCTATCAGAGTCAGCAGTGTGCACAGGAACATAGTTTTGTGCTCAAAATTTTACAAGCATATTCCATTATCTAGTACTTTTCCTCAGAAATGTTATGCAACTCCATAAAAACACGTTGTTTAAAAATACTGAATGGGAGCACTCACAGTGAAAACAGTGTGAACATTTATCAGCTGACCTTCCAAAAAAGGGTTTACCTATTTCCTCAGCAATCTTTTGCCTTTGGGATTTTTCCTTCACTGTAAAAACTATCCTCCTCTTCTCGTCATCATCTTCATCATCACTGGCATCATTTTCATCTTCTCGAACAAGGCGGCTTTTACCTGGTTCACTGTCAACGGGGGTAAAGTCTCCAAGTTCACGAGCCATTTGACGCTTTTTCCTAGCGGCATGGATAAAAGCAGCATCTGGAATTTCTCCTAGAGACAGATGTGTGCACGGTTAAACAACCTCTGCAACAGAACAGGTGTTATAATTTCTTACTGCTCATCTCTGTCACTGTATCAAATCATCTCTGCACACAGAAAAAAAAAAAAAAGAGAGAGGAAGCAAATCCATACTCACGAAAAACATTTGCAAGCAACTTAGATGCTAAAAATGTCAACTTTCTGACCAGAAAGTCTCAAAGTTAGGATTGTCACAGAAAGTCTGGCTCTGCTTCCAGCAGTTCATAAGACAGAAGTCTAATGCTCCTATGTGAAATATTCCCAAAGAAGAGGAAGCCCTTTACAGGAGCTGACTATTGCAAAGGGAAGAAGAAAATGAGGTGTGTGACTCTGTAATTTCCTATCCCAATATTGCTCCCAGCTCTTCTTATTTTGAGGGAATAAAAAGCTTCAACCATTCCAACAGACAGTCATCAGTCAGAGATTAAGAGAACACCAAATCAGACAAAGTTAATATACAGAAAATTGTACAATCAAGGGGGAACATGAAAAGCATCCCACCTAATGAGAAAACTCTAAAATATACAGCACAAAACTTAATGCAACTTCCATACGTCATTTAAATCAATGTGTGGACCCAGGACACCCATCTGGTACTTGGGGAGCAAACCACCATAATTACCAAACTAGTTTCAAAAATATTTTCTCAGAGGGATTTCTTTGGCCTCAGGGTCTGACTAAAACCTCAGTATACAAAACAGGATAGGAAAATATTTCAGATACCTTGCAGACCCAATTGAAACATTTTAATTAAAGAAGAAATTTTAATTGAAAGCAGCTGAATCGCATGTGAAGTCACCTATTCCAAATCTAGATTTTCTTGCAGTTTGTCATCTACCTGAGAGACAAATTCCTGCTTCTGACATCAGGATGAAGCATTCCGTAGCAAAACATTTTATCCCATAAGACTTGTAAAACTGAACACCTTTAGATAATAGCAGTTGCTTGAACTCTCAGATACTAAATTGTTGGAAACAATTTCCTAATCTCTCACACATATTAGTCTGCTATAAACATTGGCTAAATCACTTGGTAATTTATCAGACATATTACAAAAACCAACCTGGGCGGAGAACATTCAGTGATGACAGAGCACTTGAAAAAGCACCACCAGCTTTTGGTTTTTCTTCTTCCTTCTCACTTTCAACTTCCATTTCTTCTTCACCATGCTCACTGTTTGCAGTCCCATCTTCTTGGCCTACATCTTTATTCTGTCCTATTTTTTCTAGTGGTGCTTCAACTGATAAGACAGCAAAATCCATGTTTTACTCTATTTATAAAGATCACTCCGAAGTATTTTTTTAAAGATATAACAACCAAAAGTGAAAATCAAATAAAAATGTTAAATAATAATTGTTTGAGATCTAGGAAAACACACTTTCTTAACTGTGATTATATCACTGACATCCTCACAAAATAAAATGTGACAAGGCTGGCCCCACCAACCACTAAACATTTTCCACATTGTCATCAAGTATTAAGAAAGTGGGGGAACTCAGCCTTGTGCCACCTTGTCAAAGTCTCTTTCAATGAGAAAGCACTGCCTGTGTTACACCAAGTCTTCCCACAAGAACCAACTGATTTCAAAGGGACCCTTCATTTTCCTCTTGGGCTACACCCTGCATTAGGTGGGTAATACACAGATACAGGCAGAAAGTATAAATAATGTGTAAAATAATGCAAGTTAAACCCAGCTACCCAAACCAAGCTGCACATAGCTGAGGTTTCAGACTCAAGCACTTGTTTAGAGAATCCAGGCTACTCTCTCAGTAGCAGCCTTGAAATCTTTGAACTATAGCCACATGAATCAGGGGGAGCAAACCAAACAGAAAGGAAACAAACGTGGCCCACACAGATGTGTGCAAAATGTAATGTGCTAAGGATCACTGTGACAGAAGCAAGAATCCAGGTTTTCACAGATGACCTGAACATGAGCCACAGAAATTAAAGTTTTGCTCATGCCCCACACCACTGCATAGGCAATTTAAGGATTCTAATAACAAGGAATATGTGGGTCTTCTAAATGCAGACAAAACCTTTTAAAATAATTTAATTAAATTTTAAAAGGGTATTTCCTGCATGGGGCCATGTTCAACCCCCATGTGCTTCCCTAGATCATTGCAACCTTCAGGTCATAAGCCTCCCAGCTTGTGCTCATAGCATTACATAATCTATGTAAAAACTTAAGTGGAAAAGGAAGCACTACACTTTACCAATGAGCCTCCCAAAAACCAACAGTAAAATGAAACTGAGGTCCCAGGCTCTATTTCAAGCTCTCAAGGACTGTACATTGTAACAGATCCTTTTAAAAGAGATAGACTTAAAGTGTCCATCATCTATCATCTTAATCAAGTCTACTCAAAGGTCCAAATCCTGAAACAGGCAGCTGTTTAACAATTAACTTAATAACAAAGACCACCACTCTGCTCACCCCAAAAACCTTCCTTTTCGAAGAAAAAGCATTACAAGGATACATCTTGTCAGACAAGCACCAGGTATGTTCTCAAATGAATGGAATTCCTTCCTAATTCAGTAAGCAATTCATCTGTCATAAACACAGGTGCAATTCAGAATACTGCTGTCTACTGACAACCATGTAACAGAGCTGAGAAGTTCCAGCCTTCTATGTTAACTTCTACATGAGAACCAAGGAACTCTCTACCAACACAGAACAGCATTCCTAAGGTTCAAGTAACACATTTCATCTGTGCTTTACTTCAGCTCTAAATGTGAAATTCTCTAGAAGACTAACAATTCATTCTGAAAACAAGAAATTAAATTACGGTACTTTATCTTTTCCACTACTGAAGTTACTATTATTATTAGGTTTGCAATTACCATCTGTTGGAGAATTGACCTCTGTTCTAACTTTTGATTTTTCCAGATCTTCTTTGTATTCTTTCTTCAACTGTTTTACAATCTTTTTGCTGTAACTTGATTTCTTCACTTTGAAAACTTCTTCTGTTTCTTTAAAAGAGAAATTTGATAACGTTACATCAGATCTGTCAAGCGTACTTATTTATTAAACCCCTAAATTTTGTACCTGGAACTTCACAAATGCTATTAACAAACATTGTATGGTTCTTTCACAGTCTATAGTGAAAGTGTGATTGTACACCTTCAAGTGCTTCCATCAAGATGTCAAATCACAAGTCTTAGAAACTAAGTTTCATTGATTTGCAGATAATTCCTTCTAAGACGACTCAAAACTGTACGAACTGTTCGGACAACAGGCAGTGAGTCCGAGGTGACCCATGACCACCAGCCACAGACTGACCACATCAGACCGAAACAACCTCACACAAAGCCACGGGACAATGCTCCTCCGCTGGCACTGGTGGCTGACTCCTGGCTGCACTAACTCCCGCACCAACCTGCGGCCACCCAGGCGCGGCGAGCGCAGCACAAGCGATGCACCCGCAGCACAGAAGCAGAGGAAATTTAATGTGAAGCTCATCCCGCTGGGAGCACGCTGGCCCCGCAGAGCCGGGTCGGGCCGGGGAAGGCGCGGGTCCCCGGCTCTCCGAACCGTGCCCTCAGGGCTCGCCCCCTCTCAGCGATCCCACATCACCCCAGGCCCCACACGGGGGACTGCCCTAAAAAATCAATGCGGATCCCGGCCCTCTGGGAGGCCCAGTGCAGGCTGAGCAGCTCCGGGCTCCTTCCACTCCCGCAAGAAGCGACCCAAAAGCCCGCCTCACCCTCCTCCTCGTCCTGGAAGCTGAGCAGGCTGGCCCTCGGCACCTCTTTGTTCTCCTTCGACCGCTTCTTCTCCTTGGGGCGCCCGGCCGCCGGCAGCCCATTGCCCTGCTGGGGCTGGGGCTGCGGCGGTGGCGGCGGCGGCCGCAGCGCAGCGGGCGCGGGCAGAGCCCCCAGGCCTGCCCGCTCGCCCCCCATCAAGCCCAGCCCCAAGCCGAGAGCCGCTCCGTAGCTGGCGGCGCAGTGCGTTTTGGGGACGTCGCTCTGGGAAAATTCTGCGAGTTTCTAAAGCAGTACTTCCGTAGCTCACAGCCATCCATAATAGAATTGTGTGAAATTTGTGTATTTTATGATTGGCTTTTCGCAAGTATTAAATATTGTGTTATTCTAGAAAGTTATGCTATATTAATTTGCTTAAGTAGTGTATTAAATACAGTTTTAGGTTATAACATAATGTTAAAATAGAAACTATGCTATGCAAGATACTTGTTTAAGAAAGGACTCGCACTAGATAGAAGCCACAGGACACCTAAATCTTTCAGAGAAAGGGAATTTATTGCTCCCTTATCAGCAGAAAACTAACTTCTTCCCACCTCGCTCAGACGGCATGAGGATTAAGAGGAAGAAGCTGACAGTGACCAGACAGAATCCTGTGTTTGAATGGAATTTATGCATCATGTATGAGGTGCATGAATATGCAACAGGCGATTGTTTCTAAGGGTTAATCCTCTGTTAACGGGGGTCCTTTTTCGGGCTTGTGTTGCCCAGAAAAAGGTACCCGGACGTCCGTATCTCTTTGTTTTTATTGTCTCATATCGTCCTAATCACAAATGTTCAAATTTTATTATTCTAATTATATTACTGTTTTTATAACCATTTTATTACTATTAAACTTTTAAAATTTCAAAAACAAGTGATTGGCGTTTTTCACAAATTGGTAGCGGGTTCTTGGTACCTGCTGGGGCAGAACAGGGCCTTTGGGAAGCTCACCACAATATCGGAGCTGTGGGTTTCTGTAGTTGAGGATTTTTTGCTCTTTGCAAGAAAAAATCCAGCTGTGCTTACTTGGACGCTTGAATAAAATATCTTTTGCACCAGCTTTATTTAGAACACTAGAGTGGCAAAAGTAACTAGAAATTTAATTTGCTCTGTTGGAAAGCCCATGGATTTATTAACCTCATTTCTTCCCAACAAGGCCAGAATACATACATCCTCAGCTACTGCTGCATGTGTGAATTTTTGGACACTGCTGTCATGGTAATGGGGAATTACTGTGATTTCAGCACATTTTTTACCAGAGGGCAGCAGATCTTTGCTGAAGATCACCTAGGTTTCATTTTTCCAGATTTTGGAGAAAGCTTTGGTAACATTTAGAAATCAATATATTTGTGTGTGCTGGGGGTTTTTGGTTTTGGTTTTTTGGTTTGGTTTTTTTTTTTAAATACCACTGTCCTATGTAGGATTGGTGAGTTGCCAGTTTCTGAAGGCAAGGTTAGTTCTCTTGCACAGACAGCTGGATAAGGGCAGATGATGTGAATTATTTGCCTGTGTTTGTAATAGACAGTCATGAGAGGTGACACTGGAAATATTTATAATTTGGAGAAAAAGGCTTGTGGTTTGTTGCCAAGATGGTGACAAAGGAAATGACGTCTTTACACCAGCTGATTCCATTGTTCTCTGGCTGAGGTAAATGGAGTTCAGTACTCAGCTTGCAAACACCAGTGTGCTTAAATATATTTGCAATTACAAATAGACCTCATGAATTCCACTGTTATCACATTGCTGATTTCAGTGGGAATGCTCACAGGAATGGGGGTTGGGCATTTATTTAAGTCTTCTGAAAAATTAAAGTTTGCTTCCTAGCAAAATTGCTCCATCACTGATTACAGTTATATCAATATGACTATTTAAAATAGAAATCTTGATAGCCATTCCCCTAAGTGCACAGAGAATCATGGAATCCCAGAGTGGTTTGGGTTGGAAGGGCCCTTAAAGACCTCCCAGTTCAATCCCCCCTGCCATGGGCAAGGACACCTTCCACTGGACCAGGCTGCTCCCAGCTCCATCCAGCCTGGCCTTGGACACTCACAGGGATGGAGCAACCACAGCTTCTCTGGGCAGAAGTTTCCTTATATTTTATCTCTGTTTCATGTAATCCATTGCTGGCAAGGCAGGACTCTTACAACTTGCTATTTCAAAGCCTTTATTGTACTGTAGGGATGGATCCAGCCTTAGTCATGTCTCACAGAATTCAAAACCTGCAGACACAGGCAAGGAGCAGACTTTGGGCTATTTTGATAGTCCTGGTGTATGTTTTTCAGGGGATAGCAACCTTTCTCAGGCAACACATCTGAAAACTGTCTGCCCAAAGCCTCACCTCCCTTGTCAGATGAGAGTCATTATATGGAGTATTTCTACTCTCCCATATGGGAGAACATGAGCAGTTTGCCATTATTACAAAATTTGAAGCTCCCTCCATTTGGGGAAATTGCAGGTGTCAGCACATCCATCATGCAGGTGGCAGCCTTTCCCTGGAAAAATACGAATCGGCTGAAGTGGCCCAGTGAAGAGTCAGGGGCTGACACATGTGATTGTGAGAAAAGTGTGAGGGAACCAGGCATTCTTCCTTCTCAAGAAGGAAGCCTGGAGAAGGGAAGGCTAAGGTTCACACATGGAAAAAAGCTTGCCAGTGAGGACAAGGCAATTCCACTTTTTTTTTTTCCCCCTCTAATTGCAGGTCTGTCTATCAAGAAGGAAGCCTGGAGAAGGGAAGGCTAAGGTTCATACATGGAAAAAAGCTTGCCAGTACAGGCAAGGAGGACAAGGCAATTCCACTTTTTAATTTTTTTCCCCTCTAATTGCAGGTCTGTCTCTTAAGAAAATTGCAAAAAAAGCAATAAAAAGCCTTTGACTATTGTGTGAGAATGCTACTGTCACAAGGAAAGTTTATCCTATTCAATGGAAGTTCCAAGTCTATGAAATTGATGTCTTCCATTCCTTCTTCAGAAAAAAACTAATTAAACCCCTCATTCATCACTTGTGCTAATATATGCCTATCTGAAAGTGATGTATTAAGCAAAGAGGAGTTTAAATATAGAGTAATGTACACAGGATGAATAGCAAACCCATCTAATTTAGATTAAAATGGCATTTTAAACTGAGCAGGTGTTAAAATACAAGATTACAGGAAAAATGCAATGAGTCGGTCCCTGAATAAACCTAATCTGACTAGCTACATAATCTGACCAGAAAGCCCTAGGGAGACTGCGGCCTTAAGGAAAACAAAATGCTAGATTTGCTGGTTTTACTCCATGTGAATTTTAGGAATTCCTAAGTGGGCTGATGGCTGAGAGGAATTTTGTTTTCCTGTCTCTTTGCTTAAAGAAATACTGTACTTAATTTAGTTGTTCCATAAATAAATTGAGGCAAATAAGTTCGAGTGGGCTGATGGCTGAGAGGAATTTTGTTTTCCTGTCTCTTTGCTTAAACAAAATACTGTACTTATTTAGTTAGTCCATAAATAAATTGAAGCAGTAAGTTCATGATCAAAGCTGAAGTTCTACAGCCTTTCAGGCTGCAGCATGATTCATTCTTGTTGTCAACAGCTTGAAAATGATATTTGTGTCTGCTTGTGCAGCTGAAGCCTGGGCTACTGGCATTAGGTTGTAGTGGTGGAGTGCTCGAGTGTAGTGGCACAAATTCCTTCCCAGCAAGATAAAAATGCAAGATAAAGTAGGCAAGCACTGAACTTGAGCACTGAAGCACTGAACTTGAAGAACACGCTGACCCTTGAAATGTTTACTGTACAGGATTTTTCAGGTGCACACAGACTCCAGGAGAAGCAATTCATCTGTAAAATCCTCACGCCCGTCCATCCTATGTAGAGCTTCTGTCCACAGCAGAGGCAAGTGTTACAGCAGGGAAGGCTGTGACATGGAACTGCAGGGAGGCAGAATAACAGGAGAAAACTTAAGGGAAAGGAGGAAATCTCCTCCCAAAGAATTGGCAGTGCTGATATCTCCCTTTTTCCCCCAGATGAAGGTCAGCCTCAGCAGGTCATAGCCTAAGAGAGCAGAAAGGAGGCATATGCAAGAATTTAATTTTCATGCTGTGTTTCACACATGCAGCTTGCACTTTTCCTAATAAAGAGTAGTGAGCCAGGATGAGCAGCAGGATTTGCTTTGCCAGAACACACCTGGAGCTGTTCCAGCTTGGAGGTGTGCACAGTGCACACTGTCTGGAAGGCAGACACACGCTGACCTGGGTATTCACATCTGAATCGCATCAGGATAAGCATTTATATAAATGAAAAGTGAGAAGGAAGTGTTATTACCAGCACGGGAGGAGAAAACTGTTTTGCACAGATGTAAGGTAGAATGACTGGTGGAGTTGTGCTCCCTGGGATTTAAAGTCCAAGTATTATAAAAACCCCACAAGTCTATATCCATGCATAAAGCATGAATGTGCAAACTCACAAATAAACAATTGTATTTTCATCCAAGAAGTACTTTCGTAATTGTAAGGTTTGCACAGTCAAAGCCTGTTTATTCGTGTGCCCTGAGAAAGGGACACCTTCTGGGAAGCCAGGTGTCCCAAGGATGGGTGGTCAGCATTGTCCAAAAAACAGAGCTACCTTTGGTGGCTCAAGCTGAGCACTTCAACACTAAAGTGCCTACATTTATTTTTTAAAGACCTTTTTAAGTTTTCTTTTTTGTATGTCAAACGAACTACTCACTGGAACAAGGGCACTTACACTAAGTAAATGTCAGGAAATAAAGTTTGACAGCAATTTTGGTTATTTCCCAGTACCCTTCCTAACATGACCTGAACAAAAGTTCAAGTTAAACATTACATGAAACTAAGTATTACCTAATCCCAAAACATAATGCTGAAAATTACAGTCTATAGTAGCACTTAATTTTCTATTGTTCAGATCCTAAATTAAGGATAAAAAAGAGCAGAAAGCTGCATGATGAAAAAAACAGTAATATGAAATATTAGTGGTCACTAAGCAGCTGGAGAATGAAACTCTGGAGCAGGGCACCTTGGGACCGAAAATCTCAGCTCTATTCACTCAGATAGTGAATGTTGTCATTGCCATTGAGACTCCAGGGCTAAATAGAGATAGTATATTTACTTTAGTTTGTCCTTACTGTATCACTGACTTTATTTATAAATTAAATGGCAGAATAAAACAGGGGTCCTAGATGCTCTTTCCTTGAGCCTTCTTTTCCAATGCTCTTCTCAAGGCAGTTTTAACTAAATAAAATGTCTCAAATCCTGTCAGCTGGAATAATTCCCATGAAAATCCCTGTCCCCTTTTAAAGGTGTCTTTGCAAAATGGAGCAAAATCACTCTACCATTCCTTGTGCTTATTATTCATAGAACTATTAATTATTACCTTAGGCATACAGATACAGTGTATAAACAATTGCAAGACATGAAAGGTAAACTTTGCTGAATCTGTTACTTCACCTCCATTACAAAGCACCAAATTTGAAACACAAATACCTGCTAGGAGGAGTTACTGGAAAGGGAGAGAAACAGCCTCATTCATAAAAATACAAACTACTAAATATTTCTCTCTTATTTACCCCCCTCCTTTAGAGCCAAAGCAGTGACTTACTCTTTCTCTGGATGCCAGCAGATGGGTTTGGCCGTGCCCACGGGATCTGGCTCAGTCCAATCATGTCAGTGAGATCACCACACATTACATTTAATAAATCCGTGTGTTTTGCAGGGTCGGTGGTTGGAGACAGGAACAACACACACCCTGAAGTCCATGTGGCAAAAGAGCAAGTTTATTCTTCAAACTCTTCTTTATAAAGGCGATTTGAAAAACCCGGTTTGGAAAACTCATCGGTCTGATCTTTCACACTGCCCAGCTCACCGACCAGTGAGATGTCTGCAGCTTAGGATGGAATGTAATTTGTTGAGGTTCCTGTCACTCAGCTCAAGGGCTGGTTTTATGGAGCCAGCTGGGGATCTTATTTATAGCTGAATTAATTGCCCAGTACAAATGAGCTTGTACAGTAACATCCAGGAACCTCCTGAACTCTCTCCTCTGTCTGGATTGTATTTTCAGCAGACGTCTAGTGCGTTGAAGCCCCCATGAAGACAAGGGCTGGCCATCATGAGACTTCTTGTTTGCCTCTTGGTCCTTGGTTGAGTGATTTCTACCCAGCTCCCACCTGGATATCTGCCCTGTTGGCATTCCCCACAATTCTTACCCACCAACTCTCAACACTTGCCATGGTTTTCCTCCTGCAACATGTCTTCCAGTGCCACTCAGCCTCGGCTAGCTGGTGACAGGGGGACAGCAATCCCCCTCCCAGTGCCAGTGTTGGTGCAGCATAAAACACAGAGCAGCACACGTGTCCTGGGGTAACTTCATTTGATGGTAAAACTTCCCCTCTTCTTCCTCCTGGGACCCCAAACTGAGAGCAGACAGTGACTTATATGTGGGGGCAGGTCTCAGGGAAGGGTACAATCTTTAACTAATCAGGAAAATTGGGAGTGAAAAACAAGGCAGGTAATACAATGTATAAACCAATACAAAATTTCAAGGGAGGAGAATATTTTCAGTGAATTACTAAAGTTTGAAGAAATGGAAACTGGCATCCAATAACAGGAGAAGTGACGAAAGTTCTGGGAAAAGGATGGGACAAAAAGAAACAGCATAAGGAAACTACAAAATTACAAATCAAACAGTAAACATACTAATAAAACAAAAAACACACCATAACATTCCAGGATCTCCTGTTTGCTGCCCACACTGCAGGCACTGGGGCAGATACACTTCAGCTGGGTTATCAATCCCAATGCCTTTTTGGGGAGAGAAGCTCCAGTTCCTGAGTGACCATTCTCAGGAGCTTCCATGGTTTCTAGCACATCAATAACACTTGCACTCTTGCTGCTTCATGGCAATGAAGTAGACATTTCCTATGTCTACTCAGATGGTAGCCTGAACGACCTCACTAACACGCCATCCTTCGAACAGTGTCAAGCCACTCACAAGCTTATCTCAAGTGACCTGGTTTTTATCCCCTTCCCCTTTCAAATCCAATTTAAGGCTCACTCAACATGCCCTACTAACTCCCACACAAAGATCCTTTTCCCTCTGAGACAGGTGTACCCAATAGGCTTGTCACCAGTAGGCTTGTTGTCATCTAAACCATCCCATGATCAAAAATCCTGTTGGTGACACCTGGCTTAAAGCCAGGGATTTGCCTGTACAACTTCCCTGTTTCTACCCTGAACAGTGAACCCCCCAGACCAACCCCTCCCAGTTCTACTGCTGACCATGACAGCCTGTGGTTGGGAATATGCCTGGGGTCAGCTGGGGTCCACAGGAAGCACCAACCAGGCACTGGGGGAGGGGGTCTCAGGTGAGAGGGACACCTGGGTGGGCCAATGGCCCCTCAAAGGGTGGAGAGCATCCTTTGAACCTGCCAATCACTCGATGCTCTCTTGGAATTTCTGGGTTGATAGACAGTGCCCAGCAGGGGTCAAGGGTGGGGAAAAGCAGAGGTGATTGACAGCCCACCTGGGAAAGGTAATTTCAGGGAGAAACCCAGGGAACTGAGGCAAGCCCTGACATCACACCGCAACAGCTGCTGCCAGCAAAGGAGCAGTCAGAGGTGGCTGAGCACATGAGTGATAAAGTCTTGGGGGTTCACTTTGGCTTGGAAATGAGCCTGGTGGCCTAGCTGTAGGCTGCCATCCCAGTGGCACGAGCACTGACCCCATGGTCCCCCTGCTTTGTCTCTGAGCCTCCAAGTGTGCTGTGCCCTGCTGTGCAGAGCTGGGTACCCAGAGAGAGGTATTGCTGCTGACCCGAGCCACAGCCTCTGCTCTCCTCAGCAGCATGATGGGGATTGGGGCAAGCACCACATCCCGGGTCAGGAGCAATGTCCAGAGCCTCAGGACATTGTTGGCTGGGATCCCAGTGGGGTTGCTCCTGGTGGGTGACACAGCAGGGCAGGTCTCAGCTGGTGCTGGCATCACTGTCTGGGTCAGTGCTGGGACGTGTGTCGAGGAGGGGCTTTGCCCTCTGATGCAGCTGGGGTGCTTTCTCCTGCATCTCTCAGCAGCCCCTCCCAGGCACCAACACCCTCCCTGACCTGACCTTGTTCCTGCTGCCACACCTTCCCAGCCACTTGTGGTGCAACCAGTTGCTTCCCTGTCCACAGCACCACAGCATCTGGGGGCTTCCCTTAGGGTGGCTCTGCCCACCATGGAGCATCTGCTGGCCAGGACTCTGGCCACTGGTAGTCCCCCACACCAGCAAGACCTCCACCTCATCAAGGAGGTGGTGCTGGACATGGCTCCCACCTTCTGAGCTACTACTGTGTCCACGGGAGCATTCCAGTGCCACCAACCTATCCATGTTGGCTGCTCCACCTCCACACCAAAGTGTGACACAGCATGGCACGAGATGGCATGGCAGGGCTGGGTGCCATGCTCTGCAGTGAGGAGTGTGCTACTGCCATCACACTGCAGGCAAGGAGAAGGGGTGGGGATGGAGCCACCAGCATCCCAGGGACAGTAGGACAGGATGGGGGACACAGAGATACCCACATGGGGTCCTGCATGGCAGGTATCTGTGCCCAGCTCAGCCTAGCCATAGTGTCACTGTCCCCAGGACACTGGCTGAGCCTGGCAGGGGCCTTTGCTGAGTGGCAGGGGTCTGTGAGAGGGGATGGAGTCTGGAATTAACTGGGCTAGGGGGTGCAGCAGGGCTGCCTTGGGCAGGTTCCTGCCCAGGTGGCTGCTCCACTGCTTGCCTTCCCCTGGCTCCTGAGTCACTGTAGGACTGGGGTGTCCCCAGGGGGCTCCTGTGGCTCCCTGGGCTGAGGGCAGCTCATGGGGGGCTGCATCTGGAGGCTTCTCCATCCCCCCCATCCCTATCCTTCCAACATTCTGAGCATCCTGAAGTGTGATGCCCATAGCCCAGGGGCTGCTCAAGAGGCTCAGGATCTGTTCCCCAGCCTGTCCCACAGCCCAGGGGGGTCACAGTCCCCACAAGCACTTGAGAGAGCAAGAAGGGGGCTGGGACACAAGAGCAGGGACCCTGCCAGCACAGGATGGATACGGGGGCTGCCCCATGGAGCAGCAGATGGGACTGAGCAATGCCACGCTGAGGAACAGCCCCAACCCCCCCAGGTGCAGAGAGGGATGTGATGGCCCCATCTTCCACGGTGCCTGCAACCCAGGGCTTCTCCACCCACCCTCTCCTCCAGGGCAGGGCACAGCCATCGTGCCAGGTATTCCCTGGGCAGAACTGGGACTGACTGTGGCTCTCTAGCCCTTCACCAGGCAGGAAGGGGGTGAGGAATGGATCCTGCCCTTCACGGGCACCAGGGCTACCTCCTCTCCCTCCCTCCTCATCCCACAGGTGCCCTCTACACCCCTGGGCAGCACCACCCCCAGGATGCAGGTGACACTGGGCAGCCTTGATGTACTTTAATAAACCCTGGGGTCCCAGAGCCAGCTATGGGCAGAGCTGGTTCCAGCCCAGGCAGTGCTCCTGACTTAGCTTGGGGCACCAGGAGCCCCACTCACAGTGGGGCCAGCACATGTGGGGCCATGCAGTCCCCAAAGCAGGTCAGAGAGATGGGCCTCCCTGGAGGTGTCACATGTGCAAGCAGTAGTGTGGGGCTGTCAGAGCAGGGAGCTGCACTGCAGGGTGCTCACCCCGCATGGGAGTTGCTCCCTGTCTCAGCCCAGGCCCCCGCTCTTCCCAGTGACAGGGGCCAGTGCCTGGGACGGCCATCGCACCTCCCTGGTGCCGACACCGAGGGGGCTGAGCACCACGCAGGTGAAGTTGGTGTGCAGGTGCTGGCTGCTGAAGGAGCTGAAGTGCAGGTCACGGCGCAGGGCCCACCCCGAGCCCTGCGGCTCCTCTCTGTGAACCCAGCGGGGACCGGTCAGTGCCCACTGCAGATGGGCAGACCCAGGAGCCTTGTCCCAGCCTGGGTCGCTGCCCCTGTCCCCATACTCACTGCACTGTCCCCTCACGCACAGCCCCGTCCGGGTGCAGGCTCTCCACGAAGAAGCCGTTCTCCAGCCAGTAGAGCAGTGTCAGCTCTGGCAGCTCACTCAATGCTTCACATGACACAGTCACACTCTCGCCTGAGCCGGAGGGTGTGTGAAGGTCAGGGGGGCTGCAAGGATCCCCATTGCCCCCCAGGCACAGGCACAGCCCTCCTTGCTAACTAATCGGAATATTCCCCCACCTCATCTGCACCCCAAAATCTCGGCTGTGGGTGGAGGATTCGCCTTCTGTCTGCTGGAGGCTGGCACAGGAGCTGAACCCCACAGCAGCCTACTCACCCTCAGGCCCTGCCATGGCCCTGGGGGTCTCTCACCTGGCCGAGGAAGCTCTGCTGGCATCCGCAGGGTGGTGATGCTGGGCGGCTGCAAGGCCATGGCACCTGGGGAGCAGCAAGGGGTGAGGTCGAGAGCGACCCCGAGACCCCACATTTTTGTAGTGGGTGAGGAGGCAGGGTCCCACAAAGGGACAGAGGCTCTGCTCATCCCTAGACCCCTGAAGAGGCCTTTGAGTGGCACAGAGCCCGGGGTTGACCTTAGGCTCCGCAGCCCCCCAGCAGCCCCCACTCACCTGTGCAGCAAGCAGCCAGGCCCCAGCAGAGCAGCAGGATCCAGGCAGGGCTTCCCAGGGGCTCTGCAGACAAAAATGGAGCTCAGTGCTGGGCACACAGGGATGCGCCCCCTGAGCTTGGGATGCTTTCCCCAGCATTCCGTGAGCCTGGCATGGTCCCGTCCTCTCAGCATCCTCCCAGCTGGCCATGGTAACCTCAGCACGCTCCCGCCAGGACTCCCGTAACCCTCGTATCCGTCCAGCACCCCGCAGTCTGTGATATGCCATACCCCCCAGCATCCTCCTCCCGGGGTCACTCAGGTCGTGGCTGGTGTCCCCCAGGCTGTCCGCGCCCCGCTCCGGTACATGCGGACTCCGCGGCTGCTTTATGAGGCGGCGCGGGGAGGGGCGAGGCAGCCGTGACTCACCGGAGCCGCCCCCGGCCCCGCCCGGCGACGTGGCGGGACGCCACCGCACCGAGCCCCGCTCCTGGACGCTGGGGTGTGCCGCTGGGTCCTGCGCCGCCGTGTCCCCGAGCCCCGTGAACATGCCTTGTGACCCCAGCACTCCGTGCCCCCTGTGCTCTGTGTCGCGGGGATACACATCCCATGATCGGCATTCCCCACCCCTGGGGGAACATCCATGGGGTCCACAGGGATGTAGGGCCCAGCTGGGCCCCCCAGTGTCCAGCACATGGCTGAGTATCGCAGGATTCTGAACATGCCGGTTTGCTCCCCGATGCTTTGGGATCAGGGACAAGGCAGGGTCTGCACAGGAGGAAGGTGGGTGAAGCCCCCAGGAGACTGAGTACGACAGTGGCTGGGAGAGCCTGGGTGTCGGTCCCTGGGTGTCCAGCCGGGGGAGGACAACAGCTTAGCAGACAGAAACCCCCAGGGTTCTCGTTCTTGGCTGCAAGAAGCCATCTCCTGTGTCCCACAGCAGTCTCCCACCCCAGAGCCAGACCCTTGACCGCAGATATGGTTTCAACAACCCACTGGTTACAAAACCAGGGGCCAGCCCCCACACCCCACTTCCCAGCAGCATCAAGGCTGGGAGCCACTGTGGGTACAGCAATAGGGCAGAAGCAGCCACCTGAGTCACAGGCCCTGGCAAGTCTTGGAAAAAAAGTCCCTGAACTCCCAGTGAGTTTTGTTTTCCATTCCCAGAAGAGAAGGAAAGTGGCAGGAACAGGAGTGTTATGGAGACCTGGCAAGTGCAGTATGTTCCCAGCCTCCTGCTGGGATAAGGCCAGTGGCTGCATCCTTCCCACACAACCAGGGGTGTCAAATGGGCAGCGATGAATCAAAGGTGGCCCCCAGGGCAGCACCCAGCTCCTCTGCCATCAATACAACCAGCTTAGCTCTGGATGCTACTAGGTGAAAGAGGTGAGCAGGGAATGCAGATGGGAATGCTTGGTCATCATGAACTTAATATCCTTCCCCTAGGAGAGATGAAAGGAGGAACCTTCCATGCCCTGCAGCAAGGAAGACGATCAAGAAAAACCCAGGGCCACATCTCCATTTCCAGGGCTCTTATTTTGGTGTTTGGCACAACACTGCAATGTGGTTTCACCCAAAAGAAAACTCAGAGGATGCAGCACGGTGCTGGGGTTCCCCAGGGGGAACACAGCACCCACAGCCATGTCACCACTGTGGCCACTTCCCAAATCCCCTGAGCCAGGAGCTGCCTTGTAGCCCTCCACCAGACCCCAGTGCCCTCAGGGAATATGACTCAAGTCTCCACATGCCAAAATACCACCACCCGCCCTGGGATTGAGGACTTTGCCCCCACCCACTACCAAAAATTGAGCCCAAGGCCACTTGCCCCAGCAGTACTTTGGCATAGCTCCTACCAGCAAGGCCAGGAGGATGTCATGGAGTAATGCTGGGGCAGGGAAACGCCAGCCAGTGCCAGCCCAACCTTCACTCCATCCCTTTTATTGCAGTGCCAAGAGCAATACGCGGTGAGGGCGGACCTGCGCCCTGGGGCAGGGCACCTGCTCTTGAAGTACCATTACCATCACCCACAAGGGCACAGAGAGGAACAGCACTGGCCCCACTCCATGCCTTGGCTGAACCCCCTGAGCAGTCAGGGGACACCGCTGGACTCCAGGGAGGAACACAGAAAATTTGGGAGCATGTAAAAGGGTTCCCCAAGGCAGAGCCCACCATCACCATGCTGGAGAGCAGCCTGGTTGCTGCTGGGTAGCCAGGTGACTTTCCATCCCCTCTTTCAGGGCACTGGGCTCCAGCCTCTCCTCTGCAGCCCCCATATCCCATCCTCGCTGCCAGCAAGGCTGCTCCAGGGTGCTGGCGTTGGGAGCTGACAAAGCCTTGGCCCTTCTTGCCACGGCCTCCCCTGACAGAGTGGCAGGAAGGAGCTGGAGAACAGCCCAAAGCTCAGCCCAGGAGGGCCCTGCAAAGGGCTGGACAGGGACAGGGAAAGGGGACAAGCGTCTCTTTTTGGCTGCAATAGAAAGTTTTAAATATGCTCATTAAAATAATTGCTTTTTTAAAAAATCCTCCCCTAGCCCCAGCAGGAGGGGCCCTGATGTTGCTGTCCTTGGTGGTGGCCAAGGTCCTGAGAGGTGACGGAGCAAAGCCAGCATCCCTGGTGGCAATGTCCTCTCGTGGTTCCGCGGCTCCCCACCGCCTGCCCTTACTCCAGCCCGAGGATGTAGTTGATTCCCTGCACCAGTCCGATGATCACCGGCTGCCAGGCCACCAAGTAGCGCAGCCAGTCCAGCAGCTGCCCGTACATGACGTGCGGCCTCTCCCAGCTGGGCAGGAAGGAGTTAGAGTCATGGGGAAATGGATGAGAGAAGCGTGGCCCAGCAGCTGCCCGTACATGACGTGCGGCCTCTCCCAGCTGGGCAGGAAGGAGTTAAAGAGTCATGGGGAAATGGATGAGAGAAGCCTGGCACACCCAGAAGCCACCCAAAGGTGCCCCAAAGCAGGGACAGAGAACACAGGTGCCCAGAGAGGCATGGACAAGCACCTGGGGAAGGCCAGGCATGAGTCCTCATGGAGGGACGGCTGTGGCCAGGCTTGCCTTGGGTTTTGCAGGGTCTTTGCCAGAGCCACATGCTGCAGCGACCTACTGAGGGTGCCAGGCAGGCCTCTCACCCCTTGTGTGCTCCACCCACTGCTTCCTTTCCCGAAGTACTGACTCCCAGCAGGAGAAAGGATACGGATTACTGAACATCCTCTTGAGATCCACCTTCTCTTTGCAGTATGGACACGTCTGCTTCTTCCCGACAATGCACCAGCCCCTGATGCAGAACTCATGAAACCTGGGGAGTGGCACGTTAAGGGGAACTGGAAGAAGAGGGGGATACACGGCTCAGTGTGGAAGAAACCACCAAGGCCAAGGAAGTTCCCCCAGAGCCATGGAAACATCCCCCCACGTGAGGATGGTGCGTTGCACAACCACAGCCCTTTCCCAGAAGGTGCAGCAGCTTCCAGGGAGAGCAGAAGGAGCTCATGGGGCAGCAGAACAGAGCCAGGGTGGCAGCACGAAGGCCCTGACCAATGCATGGGCACCAGGGAGACTGAAACTCTTTGGTGATGGTGCCCAAGCACCGAGAAGGTTTGGACAGCCTGGGAGAGCTGTGAACTGCATGCATTTTGGAAACCTTCAAAGGCTTCCTGGAGATTAACATTTAAGGAATTTCTCTGTAAGTAAGAGTCTGACTTACAGGTGCTTGCTATGCTCTGTCAAAAGGATTTGCATAACCTGAGCACAGCCTGGAGAAGTTACAGGAAAATATGAGGTGGCTGCACTGACTCTGCCACGTACAGCGATGTCACAGAGCAAACAGACTTTTCCCAGAACATCTCTGCTGCTCAAACCATGGAAGAATGCCAGACAGCAGCAACAGGAATCACTTCCTTGTCAGCCCTGGAGCCAGAGATGCAGGAGTGCCCAGCCAGCCGTCACCCTGGAGGACCACCAGGAGCACCAACCAGCTCCTCTGGCAGCCACACCACTCCAAGCTGCTGCAGTCCCAGTCCCTTGCACAGTGTCAGCCATAAATCTTACCAACAGCTCCCAAGAGTTAAATTTAGGCTTCTGTTTTGCCAGCATGACCTTTGCTCAAGCCCAGTTTGGAAACCACCTCACAGGCAGTAACGCACACAGTGCCAGAGGACATCCCATCCCTACACTGAATCACCACGGGGAAAAAACCCTGACTTGTCATCCCAGCTGGGACTGAGCACTAACCAGTACTTCCAGTTTCAAAAGCCACTTCCCATCAATCAGCTGACAGGGAAGGGCTGAGTGAGTCCAGCGTGCTGGAAACCCTGGAGGAGTGCTGGAGAAGCAGGATGCTTCTGGACTGTGGCCAGAGCAGGTAGCAATCAGCAGTACTGGACCAGGGGGATGTTTTCAGAGGGAGCCAGAAGTGCTTCCCCACAGTTCTTCCTTATAGACCCACTGCAACGCATGTCTGAGGAGGGGCCAGTGTGGCATGGAGCAGGGATGCCTCATGTCCTGACCTCACACCAGCACTTCCACCAGAGTATCTGCTGGGGGCACCGCCAGGCAGATGGGTCACAGCAGATTTGTCAAAAGCAGGTAAAAACTGAGGTGCAGCTCCATGGCTCGGCAGAGGGAGCTGGGGATGAGGAAACAACCACTTGAGAGTGGCAACAAAGTAATTTCAGGGACACCTCCTCCCACGCCAAGTCAGTGCTGACACAGCCACAGATCACATGCAAATTCAGCCAGACAACCCCGTGTCCCAGAACAGGCATTTCTTCACCCAGTGCGGGAGAAGCCACGGGGCAGGAGCTCCCTGCTGCCCACCCCAGCGTGGGGCTAGTGAGGCAGGGGGCTGGCACCTGCAGAGAAGGATACACGTGGTTGCAGGAGAGGCGGTAGGTGTTCTCAATGATGCCTTCCTCGTTGACATCCACGAAGATCTGCTGGCCGCAGACGGCACAGACGCTGTCAGAGAGGTGCTTGGTGGGCATCCCTGAGGCGCTGTAGAACTGAGCGAGGGCAGAGCAGAGGGAGAGCAGTGACAGTGGCAGGGCACGTGTCCCACACCCACGGTGGCACAGCTAAGCTCTAAGGAGGGCTGGGGTCAGCACCCCAGGAGTCCAGCCTTGGCCTTTGGGGCTTAAAAACCTTGTTACAGGTCCGGCTGCAGGAAACAACTACAACAGGACAGCTGCTCAGTGATGCAGTGGCCCATCACACCCCAGCCCCATGCACCCCCTCCCCTTGTCGAGGGGCCAGCCCTCTTTGCTCCCCAACAGCAAGGTGGGTTTTCAGCTGCCTGTCAGGGCCATGCACCCAGGGCAGAGACTGGGGAAGAGAGCAGGACAAGCTGGTGGTCACAGCTTTGACCCAAAATAACAGCCTTGGGCTGCCAGTCAGATACAGCCCTCACCTCCAGCCCTGCAGGTTCCTGACACTCATTCAGCAAAGCACAGAGCAGCCACCCCTCTCCATTTCCAAGCCTCACAGCTCAGCACAGGCCTGACATAACACGGAGAGCGCGGTCACAAAACCAGGTCCCACACACTCCAGCTGCAAGGGACCCCTCAGAATCATTGAGTCAAACTCCCTGCTCCACTGCACCACCTAAAACTAAACCATATGACTAAGGGACTCATTGAACCCTGGCAGATTTGATGACATGATCATGTCCCTAGGGAGCCTGTTCCCTCTGGGTAAATAACCTTTACCCCGTGTCAAACCTGCTCCTCCCCGATTCAGCTTCACTCCCTTTCCTCATGGCTGAACAACCACATCCCCTGGCCACACACTGATGCTGTGCCTAGGACACAGCTGGCCCCTTTTAGCTGTCAGGACACACTACTGACTCATATTCAACCTGTGAACTCTAACTCCCTAATCCCTTTCCATAGAACTCTCTCCGGACTCTTGTTCCCAAATTTGTACCTATAACCAGGATTACACCATCCCAGGTGGGGAATCTGGCACTTGCCCCTGTTAAATTTCACACAGCTGGAGCTTGCCCAACTCTCATCTGTCCAGCTCTCTCTCCAAGGAGGTCACAGCTCCCCCTGGTTTAGAACCATCAGCAAAACATGGCTCTGGCAGAGCCCTGGCACAGCTTTGCTCAGAACATCTGACAGAGCCCTGAGAATCTAAGAGAGACCCTGTGCCAAAGTGTCCTAGCGTGGCAGGCCAGGGGCTGGAGCAGAACCTCAAGGAGCAGCAGCAGAGAGCTCAGAAAGATGGAAACACAAAGTCCAAGACCCTAAACAGCTGCTGAAAAGAAGAAACATGACCGACTCCAGTGGTGTCCTAGGTCATGTATTTTTGGTGGAGTGGATTATTTTAATATCAGGTGAGTGGGCTACAGATTTTAGGCCACTGCATCCTCTGTCCACAGGGACAGCTAAAGTTGCAGCAGGTACAAG